CGCGCCTCCCGGAGGAGAGCTAGACCCCCTCTTGCGCCAGAGGCAGGGAGCCCTACCGGGCAGGCCTGCGCGGGGGCCCACCTGGCGAGGCTCCTTTTTCCTTCCCTTCCCCGCTAGCGGGTGCTATGAGCCCCCCGCTTTACCAGCCATAGGGAGGCAGGGTGAGGCTGGGGAGCCCGGGTACCCTCTGCTGCTGTAGATCAGCATTTATGTAGGTGAATAGCAATCAGTAAGGAAAGAGGAGTCAAAGTGGGGGAGGGTCTGCCTTCGTGCAGGGGTGGGCCGGGGGAAATAAAGGTGCTGGGAGACTTGATGCCCTAAAATAGAACACCGTGCCTATGGGAGACAGACCGACAAATCTGTCTATGACCCACATACATGTACCCTCTGCTGCTGTAGATCAGCATTTATGTAGGTGAATAGCAATCAGTAAGGAAAGAGGAGTCAAAGTGGGGGAGGGTCTGCCTTCGTGCAGGGGTGGGCCGGGGGAAATAAAGGTGCTGGGAGACTTGATGCCCTAAAATAGAACACCGTGCCTATGGGAGACAGACCGACAAATCTGTCTATGACCCACATACATAAGGTTTGGACAGCGGAAGGGAGGAAAGAGCTTTCTGCCACTAACAACCCTGTCACAGCTTGATAGCCCATTATAAAGTGAGATCAGTAAGAGTATATGAAGGGGAGCTGTGGGGCAGACCTGATGTATTGAAAACAATCAAGTGAGGAACCTGTCTTTCACCCAGCTTTATACATTCAAGGCAGACTGTCTGAACCATGGTGGGTGGGAGGACAGGTAGAGCTTCCTGTGCCAGAGATGACAATAGGAAAGGCTGCTCACTTATAACTAATGTCAGATCAGTACAAATGTTTTACTTGGAGAGAAGTGATTTGGTGAATGTAATAGAGTCTGGACACTTGGAGTTTTTTTGTTTTAAGTTTCAATAGCTCAATGGTTAACTATAAACAAACCAACCAAACGAATTAAACTATCCTTCAGGATTCTGACTGCAGAGCCTGCATTCCTGTAATTGGATGAAAGCTTGTATAGATTTGTTTTGGCCATATGTCTAATAGCTTTTGAAAATACTCTGTGTAGACTGGAAAAAATTAAAATGATACATATGTTGATTCTTCTGTAGATCAGAGCATTGCAGTATTGTTGAGTGAGTGTGCAGCAGAGGAAGGGGAAATAGAAATAAAATACAGAGAGATGAACCATTTGGATTTTACATAACCCCACCCCTTTTATAACTAAAACGTAACAGTAACAAGGTGGGTATTAAGATTTTGGGGAATGGAACTATAGATAATTATCCAGAAAATAAAGCTACAAGGAAAATATCAAAAGAGAGATCCCAAGCTAGTATGGGGTTGGATTGATTTTGATAGTACACAAAACACACCAGTGAAAGAGGCGGCAGATTTACCACAGCAGGAGACAGCTTGCCACTGTTTATAGATTACACTACAGTAAATACAATATTTGTAGCATAAAAGGGGGAGGGTTACAGGTTAGTAGGTTTATTTTTTTTATTTTAAAGGAAATTACCTTTAAAAGTCCTGACATGAGCAAAGACTAGAGCTATGTCTGCAGACATCTTAATACAGTATAGTGTCAGGTCTTCATACACATTCTCTACTGGTGGTTATAAGATGTATCTAGTGTTTATAACCCATATCTTTTTTCCATGCAGACAACTTGCAGCTAGAAACTAGTTTATTTTTATTTGGACATGCTTGTCTGAGATGGTGGGTTAGTCAAGGAAGACCATCTAAGCACTTTGTACAAATTTTCAAACCAATCAACCACTGTTGTGGATATAGAGAGCTGTCTATCCAAGTATCTTGAGTGATTGGAATACTTAAATCTTCACATGTTTCTGAATCTGGGTTATAAATATCTTGCTTCATAAAGTTTTTAAAATATTGCAGACTGTTATTGCAATGGGTGATGCATTTTAAGAGTAAAATCGGTCAGGTTTTTTTACACTGTATCTCTCCTGCAGCCAGACTGTTGATCTTCTCATGCAAGAATCGGGATGTCGTTTAGAACATCCTTCTGCTACCAAGTTCCGCAATCATGTCATGGAAGGAGAATGGGATAAGGTAATGTATGTGGGGCATATAGGACTATGTAACTGTTATTAAATTTATAGCTTGTGAAATGCATTTCACAGTTCTTCAAGCTTATTTTTTTATACCATTTTTTGCAGGCTGAGAACGACTTGAATGAACTTAAGCCTTTGGTGCATTCTCCTCATGCAATTGTGGTAAGAGGCACCACTTCAGTTGTCTCGGATATAGTTGGGAATAATTGTAGTAGAACACTTTTTGTACTTATTTCAGAGTTAATGTTGGCATCTGTACTTATTTTAGTAGGTGGCTTTCTATCAGAAAATGCTAACTGTGGTCTCCTATCACTTTGTAGTGTTTGAGAGAGGATGCCTAAAATATGAAGACCAACACTCAGTGCATTGAATGTGTAAATTTAAGAATCAAGCTTAGGTACAGTTTAGAATACCTAGGTACAGTGGGGATTTGCAAACTGCTATAGAATGTCATGGGAATATATAGAATGTCATGGGCTGCTATAGAAAGTGAACAGTAATGTTGTTTTTCCAGATGGCTCTTAAAGAATAAATGTGTGCCACTCTGTGCAATTTTTGTAAGCTTTGTCCTATTTGTAAAGCGGATCAGTCTGGTAATAATGTATGTTTACTTGGTTCACCTTACGGTTTAGATCCTGTGATTGGTTTGGCTTTATATATGTGGTTTCAGTAACTTTGTGATGACATGGAAAGTGTTTCTGGATTTATTTCTGTGACCCAGGATCAAAATGGTTACATCCAGCCTTAACCTTTCTTCAGCCATCTTAATTTAACAATGTTAAATGTTTACTAAAATTAGACATTAGCTATTCAGTGTTTTGTAGTTATTTGAGGAGAAAAATGTAGTACTGCTTTGTGAAGGGCCTGTGGCTGTAAACAATGAGGAATCAGCTGATGGCTGCTTAGCTTTTTACTTCTAGCTGATTCATTTTGTTGTCAGGAGAGTTTCCTGCCTGGTGGGGGAGGGGAAGAGAGAGAACAGGAAGTGAAGTAGGGAAAACAGATGTTAACAAAACATAAGTGGCTGCCTGAAAGGAGTTGCATCTTGTTCTGTTAAGTATGTCATAGTTAAACTTTTCCAAAGTCTTTCCTATTAAGCTACAATTCTTGTTCTTCTTCTTTTTTGCTTAGAAGGCTAATATCAGAGAACAAACTTTTAAAAAGAGAGTAAAGAAGCAACATGGGTCAGGAAAGATTATCCAAAGAAAATATACCAAAACAATGTGTACATGCTCATTGTCTCATGAGGAGTGAACATTTTGAGAGAGGAGTTTTTTCCCTATTCTATTCAAAATGTTGCTATCCATGCTAGCTTATTAAAAATTGTCATAGTATAAGAACTTATTGCAATTAGAAGAGGCTAATTTGACATTTAGTAAATCTAAAGTATAAAAGGCTACATAAGTCTTAGCCTTTGTAAAATGTACGCAACTGAGTAAAACTTGTGGAAATGTGAATTTTTTTGTTTTGTTTTCAAACTCTATCTAACTTAGATTGACACTTAAGTGTATTTTTATTCCTCAGAATCAGTTCAGATTAACAAAAACAACTTTTTTATTTAAAAATAAATCTGCCATATGTACAGCAGTAAAAAAATAAAGATGTACAGTAAAGGGATAAGTCACTCTATCCTATTATCCACATCTTTAGAGTCAGATGTTGAGTAATTGATTTTTTTAATTTTTTTTTAAAGAATCTGTTACATTTATAGAGATTACCTGTCTCATTCAGATTTTTTTAAATGGTTGTAAGAGTTGTCTGGAATATTTTATGGTTATTGAAAGATTTCAGCGAAAACTTAGAGCAATAAGTAGCAATTGGAAAAGGAAATGTCAGTAGAGAATGATTTATGCTCTACACAATCAGATCTAATAGATGAGGATTAATCTGTGAATTTTGTGCCATCAGTGATGTTTTAGACACCTCTGTTCATCTTGTTTTAAGGGGTCGGATAACATTTCTCCGTCTCATGGCACCAGTGGTGGTGGAGGATTTAAATAATTCAGATTTTTATTTCTAGTAGTCTTAGTAGTACTTGCACTCCTCTATTTCCATCATGTTATGTAAAAAAGAACAGGTCAATTCAATGTACGCTTATTTTGGCAACTTTATATTGATCTTCTACAAGGCACTGTGTTTCTGGTTTCTGTTTTAGGTCATTTTATTTGATTTAAAAGCTGTTTGTTTCATTCATCTATTGAACAGTGTTTAGGAGAATAAATTCAGTAAATAGCCATATTCTTAAGAGAAGAAGTGCTGTTGTGTTTTATGAACCAAGATCAGAGAGGTCTAGGTTTATGAATCCCAGCCTGGCACCACATGTGTCTCAAGATGGATGGGTGGGTGTCGTGTATGTAAAAGGTCAATCCTACTGACATTTTACTATATGCTTTAATAGGCTAAGGAATCTTATTTTTAATGTGACTTGGTCAAGGATGATCTGGACATTAACCTTGAATCAAAATGAGCTATGTAAACAAAGTTGTATGGCCTGGATATTATACATTCTGCCTGTGTCTTAGTTTCCCTATCCATAAAAACTGCCATAAAGTGCTTTGAGATCTACAGATGGAAGTGCTGCATATTAAGGTATAAACTGCTGATCTAAATTTCAAATCTGGATTAAACAGTTGCTGCAGCTGGCCTCAGCTGAAAAGAAGTAGCCTGCTTTCTTAATTCCTTTGTAAACACAATTGATTGCAGTTGTCCTGTACTCCTGTTGAACAATATGATTAGCAGTGTCTGTACTTGATGTAACATAGTATGGGGGGTGCAACTGGTAGAGGTACTAAAGGAAAGCCTTATCTAGAGTAGCGGGCCAAACATGAAAACCGAAACTTTCTTCTGCTATTAGGTGGAATTTCCAAAAAATCTTATGGATATCCAGTTTAGTTTTTGGCCCTGGTCAGCATGTCAGTCACTGCATTTAAGATTTCCAAGTGAAATTCAGCTTGTCTGCTCTTGGTTTGCCATTATCTGATAGAATAGTCCCATTCATCCTCGCTATGTTCACTTGATAATCTCATTGAAATTCAAATGATATCACAGGACAAAATTGCAGGTAGAAGCACAATTTTTTTCTTTACAGTTAGGAAACCTGTTTAGGATCTCCTATCCTTATGGTATGGCTAAAGGCTTGTCTATATGTGAAAATTAATCTGGAGTAAACTGGGGTATGAACTAAGAGCGGATTAGCTTCCTTATGAACTCCATGTGGAATATAACATCCACACATGGAGTTAATCAGGAGTTAACTTGCTGTGTAGAGAAGCTCTAAAGCCTGTAATGATTCTTTACTGGGATAGAATCCTTTAACTTTTCCTTTTGCTCTCACTCAGAGACCTTGTACATAGTTACCTAAAAGTGGCAGCTTCCTCTAGTTTCAGTTAATTGATTTTTCTTGTTTCAATTTGAAGACATTCAGAATATCGAAAGATGGTGTTAAGTGTAGTAAAATGGGCTATTTGTTTATCAGATTTGCATTGTTTTCACAGTAAGGATGTTGATGAGCCCATAGACTCTGTATTTTCATTGAGTATTTTTAAGAGAAACTTATAAGTTCATATTTAAGTAGGAAACTAAAGAAACAAGTTCAAAGCATCCACTTTCGTCCTATTTTATTAGTTATTACATTGTTTAAGTGCTAACAATATATACATTTAAACACCCCCCCTTTCCTTCCACCCTTCCCTCCCAACCATGACTTTTACTCAATCCTGGCCAAGGTTACGCCCTAGCAATTCTTTACATGGGGCCACATTAGCATCAAACCATTGAGTCAATGTTACTGTTAATTATATCATACAGTATTTAGAAACAGCAAAATGCAGCACTTTCTTCAACTCATCTTTAGTATTATACATCAGGTTATGTAACATAATTAAAATTGTCAGCCTGAGAAGATGAACATTATTTCCTGTGGCGTTTCTCCACCAGATAACATACAGAGGTACATTTGCTGTTGAAACAGAGTAGCTGTAGTCAGATCTTCAATGATCATTTTGAAAAGAAGTAGCTAACTGCATTTCAAACTATATTGTCAGTGTTAAGTTTGCAGTTAACTGTCTCAGGACTCTTTTAGTTTTATTGAGAGAGGATAGATATTGAAAGGGAGTCAAGTCTCTTCTAATATTTCCATTGCAAGACCATAATTATATTTGAAGGGAGATCTCAGTAGTGAACTGGGTATGTAGCTACCTTCTAATCATTATCAATTTAGTGCTCTTATGTTGTTCATATTGGATAGAAAAGTATATTGAAGACCTAATTGTAAGCGTAAGATATATCATCCGGCAATATTTCTTTCAAGCTGTAGGATAACACAGCACTGAATTAATGTTATGCCTTTACCTTTTTAAACTCCCTTCTGTCCAGTTGAGGAAGATGGTCTCTGACACCAGAAACAATTATCAGCACTACTAGTATTAGGTACTAGCAGCAGAGGGAGAAATTAGGAAGAAAGAAGGGGAAAAAAGTCTGATAGAATTTAAAAGCTTCAGTGGGGTAGCCGAATTAGTCAGTACAGGATAAACTTAAAAAAACAACAAATAGTATGGTAGCACTTTAAAGACTAACAAAACATGTAGATGGTATCATGAGTTTTAAGAAGTGGGCTGTGCCCATGAAGCTCATGATACCATCTTCATGCTTTGTTAATCTTTAACGTGCTACAATACTTAGTTGTTTTTTAAGTTTATGATACAAAAGAAGCGCACTGGTTGCAGAAAAGCTGATTCAAGAATAGGAAAAGCTGAATTGCCTAACAGAAGATAAGAAAAATCCTTTAAAACATACAGTGGAATAGGATCCATGCCCCTTAGCTGTAGAACCTGTGTAAGCTGACTTCTCATTATTTGGGATACTGGCATTTAAATAAGAAATTAATCCTACGTCCCATCAGATAACTTAGCAGTTTTTTGGACAAAAATACAGTCAGGAACAAATAACAAAGCAGTTGTGATTAAACTGTAGGCAGAATGTTCCTTGGGCCTTTATAAGGACATTATCTGTAATTAAATCCATTCAACATTTTTCTTTCAAGTCTGTTACAAATAAAATATTTTTACCATGTACAGTGTCTCCATATATGAAAACTCCAGTGTTGAATCATTCTAAGTTATCCTTTTCAGTAGTATGCCTAGGATTCATGGAATTAATGACTATTTTTAAAGGAAAATTTGTGCTGAACCAACTGTAAGAATGTACATATTCAGCTGTCTTGGCAACGGTACTCGCCTTGGTTGCTATACAAAATACAAGGGCTCAACGTCAGTCAATTTTGACATGCTTCTTGTACTAGTGTGGATAAAATGAGTCATGGAGACAGTGCTCTGCCTTGCTTTTACAGGAAGTTCCATGAAATTGCTGATATTGACACAACAACAAAAAAAACCTTCTTTTCTCTTTTCTTCCTCAACAGAAATGGCTTCATTACCTGGCATAATGGTTCTAAAAGAAGGGGTAGAGGTAGTAATTGGATGAAGTAGTTATCATCATGCAGATAAGGGAAACCAAGAAAAAGTGAATGGATGGCTACATAAGAAACAAAATATTATCTATGAAATATGCAGGGAGAATTGGAGAATATTCAACACAGAGTTCTGGATAAAAACTGAGAACAAAGTTATTTAAAAAAAAATTATATATGGTGATCACCTACCACACGGAACCAACCCCTCCACTCGTAATAAGTGCATAGGAAGTATTAAAGGGGGAAGTCTGACTTCTAATGACTCGTCACCACAAAATCTTCAACATTATACCTGTAAAAATTATAGATACTCTCTTCTCTAATGAGCCTCCTCTTCCCCCTTCACACCGAATGCAAACAAACTGACTGTGCAGTGAAAGGGAGACTAATATAAAGGGGGTTCTGACCTACCCCCTAGAAGACATCCGAGTACTGGAAAACTAAGATGCTATAGTATCTATACGGTGATGCATATCTAGGTAACATCATACACTTCTGAAAGCTATATAGTAAGTCAGCAGTTTTCATTCATGTACATGAAAACTTGATATGTCTGGTTTGTTCTCAAGAATTACAGAAGGTGTGTGGTTCTCTGTTTTAATGAAGCGTAGACATCATAGGCTGTATTTATAATCCATCTGGAATGATTCTCCTTGAAAGAAAGCAAATATTTTATCTAAATGTTTAAATATTTTACCTGCTAGTGGTTTTGTCGTCTTAAATTCTCCTAAAAAAGAATATCTCATTTAGTCAAATGTGTAGGATGAATGAGATTTTTTTTCTTTATAATGCTCTACTCCAGTGAGTTATCTATCTTCTTACCGCTGTAATGACAATACTGTACATCTTAAACATCATGAATGAGATGAGAACGAATTTTCTTTTTAAATATGGCTTGCGTAGTCAGTCAAACATTAAATTGGGTAAGCTTCAAGGAATGACTAATTTAGCCTTTACACTTAAAATTTAAGGGTTTTTTTCTCCTTAATTTACAAAAAATACTCTTTAAATGAAGCTCTAGTTATTTAAATATTCCATTGTTAATAGCTTAGAACACGTCAGCATTGAGCTATTGTATGGAAAAACAGAATTAAATGAAATTGATCAAATAGAACAGTGTAGCTGCCCTATCCAAGATAAAGTGAAAAAATGAACAACGTTCAGTAAAACCTGTAAAGATAAGGCATAACTTCAAGGCTTTTATACATTTCTTGTGTTTTTTGATTTTGAAGAGACTAGCACTTCACTCAAAATTATATTCTTCGTTAACTTAGTAATGAGTTACCTACAGTGTTGCAAAGCCTATGATCTTTGGGGTCTACTGGACTCACAGGGGGATAGGTGTTGATCAAATTGTATACTTACGATGTGTTTTGCGCTTCATTCTGTTCTGAAGAGATAGAGAAAACATAAGTCACTTTTTTAATTTAATTTTGTTTCACTCTGGATATGTTCTCAGGTTTTCTTCTTATCCCACTACTTGTGGCAGACAAGAGGAAGGAAGGTGTCTTCTCATAGACATAGCCACGAATAGGAGAGGAGGCAGACAAAAAATACACACAGAGTGTGGCTGTGCATATGTAGAAGCAATCAAGCTGTGTATAACTTTCATCTTAAGGATCATCAGCATGTTAAATTTGGGGGGCTCCAGGTTTTAATTGTAGAACTGAATGCCTTCTTTCTTCTTGTGTCCATAAACATGTGATCTTAACATTAACAACTTTTGATGGGAAAATGTGTGAGGGTCACATTGGAATTGCAATAGAAGTTAATGCTTATGAGAAATGAGTATAGGTGAAGTGTGTCTTAAATGTGGGAAGCTATGTTGCTCTGCTTTCTGTAAAGAATGTTTATTTTACAACTATAGCAAGAATCCCTTGGTGAGCTTCTATGTAATCTGTATAAAAACACTTGCTGACCTACTGGGTCGTGCTCTGTACAAGCGTACAACATATCAAACTTTTTTAAAAATTGGGCATAAGATTAAGGGAGTTTCAGTCATTGTCCTTCAAACCAGGATTAGGTGAAAGGGATATGGGTTCAAAATAATAACTAGAAGGGAGTGTAAGAAGCAGGAAAGAATACGTTCAGATGGGTTGGATTTTTTTTATTTTTGGGGGATCTCTTCTAACTACCACAATTTAAAGATCAGCCAGAAATAATAATACATTACATATAGCTATATTTGTGAAGAGCTTAGTAGAACAGTTTCTACTGTTCTGTTTAGGCTCAAACATTTTCTGAAACTTTTCCCCCTGACTGCTGCTTTCTATCATGTCAGAGGATGAAGTTCTTGCTACTACAGCAGAAGTACCTGGAATACCTGGAGGATGGCAAGGTCCTGGAGGCACTTCAGGTTCTACGCTGTGAACTGACACCACTGAAATACAATACAGAGCGCATTCATGTCCTCAGTGGGTAAGGATGTTTTTAAGCTTGGACAACTAATTCTACAGAATGTTCTGAGGGATTGTGTAATTCAATGGAAACCAGTGCTGGTCAATATTTCCTAATCCATCTCTTCATAACCGATTAAGTGCATTTGAAATCATATGGAGTACATAAAATAGTGTCAGTGGTAAAACTAAAGCACTGTTCTTTCTTTTAGGCCCAGTCCCACTCCTGTTGAATTCAGTGGGTGAAAACTCTTTGCAGAAGTACATCTCTTATCTATCCCCTCCTTCAGTCTTTTGTACTAAATTGTTTTAAACATCTGAATTACTTATGCTATAGTTTTTAGCTTCTTGGCTAATATAATCTATTGGTGATCCTTTGTCTTTTTAAATACTGAAGACATTTACTATACTGACAGTACTATTGTATCATGAGTCAGATCACATTAATCTAAAATAAGTGTTATATACTGCCTTTATGGTATCAACCGAACTTATAAGGACATTAATTCCAGTCCTTTAAGGGAAGCATGTTCAGGCTCCCTTCCTATAGCTGAGTAATTCTCAAGTTGGTAGATAAGGATTTTGTTGGAATATTTTTGTTGGGAGGAGGAGAGTGCAGTATTTGCAGTCTCTTTTTTCATCTTTCCTGAAGACTAATCTAAAGATGTGTTGTTTTGTGTATCCAATACCTTGCATTGGCACCTTCTCTGCTTAAAGCTTTCAAGTGAATGACAAAGCAAAAGAACTTTTAGGGCCAAATGACTATTTGTCTATCCCTCAGACTCCAATAATAAATCTTTCTAATGAATTAGGATCATCACCATCCTAAGGAGCAAGCTGTACAGTCCATAGTGGTGTCGTAGTTAACTATGCCATTATGCTAGACATTTAGAAGTTTAGTATGATACAGCTGGAAACACATGCCTCAAATGCACTGGGATCCATTGGCATAGAAAATTTTGTTTACATCTGGGTAGATTTTTGTGCCATTATAGCAAAGGTGGGGAACCTTTTTTGGGTCGGGACACTGACCCACAAAAAAATCAGTTCGGGGGGGTTGAACAAGTGAGAAGTAAAAAACCAAACCAAAACACTGTCGTTGATGTGGCCCCTAACAGAGGAGAAAGACACTCCCCACATTCCTTTCCCACACCAGAGCTTAAGGGGGCCCAGCCTCATAGATTGTGTGCTCCAGCCCCACAGTGGGGTAGTTGGCGGGAGGGGAGAGAGGGAGGGAAGGGCTGAAGTGCTAGCATGGGCTCCCCAGTGTTGGAGGAGGGGGCCCTGAGCTTCAGAGACCGCATCTGGCTCCCACGCCTGAGGTTCCCCTCTCCCTGCATTCTAGATTAGTCAGACTTGATTTAAACTTGTGAGATGCTTCATTGGGATTTTTGTGTTGAAATTCATAAGCCTTTGAGTTAATCTACATGGGGGGGGGAAACGAAACTTATTGCTCACAAAATAAAGCACCATTGTACTTTTTGACTTGCTCCAATCAATTCTTGGACTCCTCATACATTTTGTTCAAGCTTTTACTTGAATACAAGTTGGTTAGGCGTGACTGTTCTATGTGTCCTAAAGAGCAATGTGTTCGGCTTTAATAAGCTGATGTGAGGGAGAGGGTTCCAAAATAGAGGTCTCTCTTCTTAGAGCCTTGTCTACCCCATCCCACTCAAACATTTTTCCTGTCTGCATTGTGTTTTCTTGTAAATAAAATTGCTGAGCAGTCACTCGGATATGAATTGTAAACAGGAACATTTCCATATATATGATCCTTACAACTGAAAATTAATTCCAAAAGGTATGATCATCATAGGATGTGTTTGTTCTAGGGATGTTAAATTTCAACTAATCTGCTAATTGCGGGGAGGGGCACTCATTATCCTGTCTGTGCTGCTGCCTTTTAAATATAGAATCCCTGCAGTGTTCTTGCTACATTGAAAAGGCTGAGGCGCAGTAGTCAGACCCAGCACAAACAGGGACTGCATGAGTTCCTGCTTGTGCCGTTTTCCCCAGCTACGCCTCTGCTTCCCCAGTCTCTCTGGAGATGTGCTGGGGAGAGCTGGCTTAAAAGCTGGTTCCCCCCAGCATCTAGCTCCTGCTCTCCCCCTACCTTGCTGCTTCTGATACAGAGGCACCAAGGGCGCAGAAGCGACTAGTTGAGTAGTGACTCAACTACCCTGATAAGCATAGGCTTATGGGGTAATTGACTAGTTGCTTAGCTTCCTAGTTCATTCCCTTTTTGTTTTGACAGGTATCTGATGTGTAGTCATGCAGAAGACTTGCGTGCAAAAGCAGAATGGGAAGGAAAAGGAACAGCTTCCAGATCTAAACTTTTGGACAAACTCCAGAGTAAGATACATTCAATAGTCAGCGTTTAAATAGATTTTTCTAAACGTACCCCAAATTTTTCTAGTATATCCTAAGGTTGTGACTAGTTAACCAGTAAGTATTACCCTTACTAGGTGGTGTTTTCTGGTAGCTGTTAAGTGGCGGACTGGAGCATTCCCCCACTTTATGCTCTAGTCTGGCCTTGCCCACCGTGCCGGGCAGGATTCCAGCTAAGTGTCTAACTGGTTAAATGGGATTTTATACCCCCTAGTACATCCCCACTTAATATGGTAACTTTTGAGGGAAGTGATTTTAATTACACTTATCAATGATTGGTGCTTTATGGGGATGGTAATTCTGATTAATGGGAATGACTTAGTGATTTTTGTGGGTCTTAAGTCTTGTTTCTCAGCTTTTGATGTCTCTAGCTGTTTGAGATAAAAGCTTTCAGTTCTCTGTGTCTCTGCTATATGTAGAAAATATGTGAATTGTTTTCATTGCTATCTGCTCTGTTAGTTTGCTTCTTCCATGTCATTCACTTGTGATAGGCCAACATGTTGGCTTATTGCAGCTTCCTTTGATATTGCCTAGCTGACCCCAGAGCATGTGGTATCTCATTTCAAATCTGTGGCCTGTCCTGTAATAGTGGTTTTCAATCTTTGGCCCACGGGCTTCTGGGAGGGGGTCCTTAGACTATCTAAGATTTCCAAAAGAGGCTGCACTTCCATTTGAGACTTTTGAAGAGTCTACAAATGAGCTTGCACAGCACTACTATAAGGTGATGGACTCTACTGCTCTATTAATAGCAGTACTAATACAGTGTTGTCTTTTAATTGGGAATTCCTCATAATGAGCACACAATGTAGTCTAGTGGAGTATTGCAATTGAGGATTTGACTGTTAAAATCAGTGTGCAGTAGTCTATTTTGTATAAATGGAACTTGTGGTGATCAGAAGCAACAGAGCTGAAGTATAGTTCTGTTTGAAAGTGTCAGTGAATCTGAGTTCATCTTTGGGTCCTCGGTTATGCAGTTATAAACCAATAAGTTGAATAGTAGAGTGGATTCCAATTTGTAACTCTTTTATGGGATTTTATTCAGTAAAGATTTTGAAGATAAAATGTGCATTTGTAACTTTTATTTCATTTTTCAAGCATACCTACCACCGTCGGTGATGCTTCCCCCAAGGCGTTTACAGAATCTATTACGTCAGGCTGTGGAGCTGCAACGAGACCGGTGCCTATATCATAATACCAAGCTAGATAACAGTCTAGATTCTGTGTCACTTCTTATAGACCATGTTTGTAGTAGGTAAGAATTTCTTTTTCTACTTTTAAGATTGACAGCAGTATTTTAAAAAAAACAAACAAACCCACAGTCCATTTACCCCAATATTGTTCCTTTGAACGGGAGGCCCAGTTTTTGCTAATTGGGGCTTTCTGGAAAAGCCAGGCCCTGTTAGTTGCCTGACTTTAGTTGTTGGTGCAAACAAACTACAAAGCGTGTATGAAAATGCTGCTTGTCTAGCTACTTCTTGAGGGAATGAAACTTGCAATGATGTGGGTGTATGTATTTAGGATTTAACCTTAATCTAATTACATAAACTTGCTACTTTTTGGCTGCAAGTTTGATCATTCTGTCAATATATAATGGCTAGCCTGTGACTTAGGCAATTGAAACTCTCTGTTCTTTATCATCAGACTACTTGGATGTGTAAGGTTAATCCACATTTACTGTTCGGTCATATTCCAGAGTTAGCCTTTATTTAATGAACGCTGTTATATTTTAAAAGTTGGCAATCAATAAGAATGCATAGTGAATTCTACTCTCTAATTCTTGCACATAACTAAAATATGTGTAATGCAAACTGTATAAGACAGAACATGCTCATCTAATTTTTTAAAAAATTGACATTGTTTTGTAAGAAAACACCCACATTTGTAACTCGGCACATAAAGAGTGCATGTTGCATGTGTACCCAAACTCATTAATTAGATTATAAAAATAACTAAAAAGCTAGAGTAACATTGGTGCTGCTTATAACTTTAAAATGTTGCAAAATGTTTGCAGGCAACAGCAGAAAGTAACTCAGTGCTGCTATATCATGCACACAGAAAAAGTTGCAGTGTTGGGTATTTTTCTTCAGACAATCAAAGCTCATCAGGGATATCTAGCATAAGTGGCTTGAATACAAATTCAAAGCTTTGGATATTCTAAAGGTATAATTAGGGGATGAAGGCCACAAGTTTCTGGACACTGAAACAGCATGAAAAAGCGAGAAGACTGTTCTACATTTTTGGTGATTCAGATTTTCATCGTATTAAATACTTACCATAGAAAGCTGCTACTTACTAATTTCTCAGTACTCACAGTGTAATTTTGTTTGTCTCTCAAAAAATTGCTAGTATATTTAACCACGTGGGATTTTTAGCTTTAAACTATTTGGCATCTGTTTTTAAAGTGAAACTTCTGTTTCAGTATTCTTTTCAGTACTTTCATTAGGACTCTAAATGACTATCCTAATACTTTTAACCATATGTGAAGTAATTGTCTTAGCTTTAGACTCTTGTGGTAGTTAAAAGCACAAGATTACAACACCTTGAATTCTTTTCTTGTGTGGACTTCTGGCCATCACACTTCATTTCAACGGGAAGTGATGTGAAGGCTTTCTTCAGTCTATAGGAATTAAAGTCCTTTTACTTTGTACTTCAGGATTCTTAAAATTAGAGCAGTTATAAATTGTGTATTGTGTGTGGCGCGTGTTTTTTTTTTTTTTTTTTTTTTTTTTTTAAGTATTTACTGCCAGTCCAGAAGTGTCAATGCTGCGTTTGCATGTAGTTAATAGGAAAGATCAATACAATTTGAAACACCAGCACTCCCTTTGATATGTAGCTGAACAAAATAATAGAATAATATTTGAGGGCCAAATGTAACAAGTCTGGGCTTGTCTAAACTTCACCCATAGTAAATATATGCCCACATAGGTCAAACTTTTATCTTTCTAATTTTGTATCCTCCACACCCAGACTTGCATGCTGGGTGTGAGTGTGTGTATGTATGTATATATATATGTATATATCAATTAAACCATAGTCTGATGTACCCCCTGTCTCCTCCCCACCCCCAGAAGAAGACACTTAAAAACAAAGGCTTCCACTCTGTCCTCAACTCAACCTATTGTACCTACCTATTGCAGGGGTCTGAGATCAGTATGTGGGGCGCCGTACATGCTGCAATGCTTGGGCATAATGAGGTGAGTTTAAGACAGTGGAAGCCAAATTCTGGATTTTGTTTTTTAGGCTTTTTTAAGTACATGTAGACAAATTGATAGAATTGAAGTAATAGTAATCTAATAGTTTGAAAGACAGTGGGACTTTAGCAATGTTAAAATTAATAGGATAGACCACTGGTAACATCAAATTCCGCTTTTTTTTTTTTTAAAAGGGGGTTAATCTGTATGGATTTCTGGCAATATTAGAATACAACATGCTTCTGTCACACTAACATCTGTGAGCTAAACAGACAGAATTGCTTCTTCTTGGGGTGGAATGAAGGAGGGTGAAGCTTTTTTTTATATTACTGGCCCTGTGATAATGGATAACTTAATGAGGGGCAGGTGAGGGACCTTTGATTGCATCCTTTTATTTTGTAATCAGTCCATTTTAACACCCCACCCCACCCCTTTATTAAGAACTTAAAAGTGAAATCTGTTTACTTACCTGGTTCTCCTCTCTTGCAACTTAAGTTGGTAGTTGTAGGATTATGCATGGATAGGCAACTTTTATTTAAAAACCACTGAAGAACTTGAGCGTTTGGGAGAAAAGTGAATATTGCCTCTTGAAGATGCTGGGTTAAGTAGCAACACTGTGAATCTTTATTGTGTCCATTTGTTAATCAGCATTTTCATTGTAAACACTGGAAACAAAATCACCTTTATGTTTTTATTACATTATTATTCCAGTAATTTAAATTCTTTTGGTCTGTTTTTTTTTTTTTTTTTTTTTTTTTTTTTTAAGGACTAAATTTAGAATTTGAAATTTGTGAAAATACAGTACTTGATGGGCCTTGTTGTTCACATAGTGTTTCCATATGCCTTATTCCACCACAGGAAGGGTAGTTAATAGGCAGACTGTGGGCCAAATCTGGACTGCCAGACACTATGGAATAGACCCTGAAATTTTTTTAAAATTTACTAATTATTGTTTTTTGTTTTTTTTTTTTGTTTTTTTTCTGTAGTCGGGGCCATTGACTGCCTTGACTGAGAGATTTGGATCTTGACAAAAAAAAAATAGAGTACCCCTGCACTAAGGACTTGTCTACACTTGAAATGCTACAGTGGCACAAATAGTATACCTTCCTGAGAGATGCTAGCTAGGTCAACTGAATTATTTTGTCTATGGCATGTGTTAAAGTAGGCTGAACTATGTACCTTGAGGTGTGGACTTTTCACACCTCTGAGCAGCATAGCTTGATTGACCTAACTTTATAATGTGAATCAGGCCTAAAGTTAAGTGTGCTATTCTGAGCAGATCTGTAACCAAGGACTTCTGTGTAAGAAGTGGAGAGCAATATGGTTGAGCATGACTAACTAAATAAAACCTGTTCAAACAGCCATGCTTCATAATCAAAGTCTTGTCTTGTGACCACCCCTGAATATCAATATCTGTTCCACTTTTTCTGAGAAGAACAGTGGTTGAGTCCCTGTTTATTACATACTTAACTGTATCTGTGCCATACAACTTACTAAACAATCTGCTTCATTAGTTGAGTGAGAACTGTCTTTTTTTTCTCTCTCTCTCGCTCCTTCCTCAATGGAAAGGAAACCAATGGGCTCCTTGAACCCACATCAGTGTATTATAATTTACATTCATTAAATTGATATTTATGCCTTCTTACACTAAGGAACTTTGTGCAGGCAGTTGTCCCATTTTTTAGAAAGGGGACCACAGCTTTAGACATACAATATTAGAACTGGCAGAGTACTAGTAAACAATAACAAATTATACTTAAAACAAATCTTCTTGTAATCTTCCTGCAACCTGTCTGAAATTCAGTTTACATAGTCCTAAAATCATAAACCTTTTGATTTTTTTCCTCCCTAGAAGTAGTTACAGTTCTGGGAAATGCCATTTAAAATACTATATAATCCCTCAAAATATATTTGGTTAAGCAGAAAATCAAGCTTGACTATGGAGACATGCCTCCAACTCACAATTATTTACAACTAAAGAAAGAGGAGAGGTGGGGCAGTGTTTCTTTGCCTTATATTTTTCTGATTTTTTTGGGGGGAGGGAAGGGCATTGCTTGTTGCTCTGAGTAATGTAATACTGAGTCTTACTCTCTGTACTTGCTTTAGGTAGCATCTTGAAAGGATTTCCACATCTTCAGCATACTAACAAATATTGTAATAAGCCAGTGCTGCAAAAAGTACCTCACTGACTTCTACCAATTTTAAAAAAAAATATTGGAGAAGGAAAAACGCATTTTAGGACAGTCACTTGTCATGAATTTGTCAGTATTTAGTGTAAGATAAGATTCGTGATAATGATTTATAACGAGCTTTACCTAAATTGTATTGATTTATTGCAATAGCTCCCCCAGTCATAGACCAAGACTTCTTTGTGTCAAGCACTGTACAGATATATAAACAAAAGATGGTTCCTGCTCCAGTTAACTTGTAAGCTCTGTGAGTCAGTCTTGTTTGCACAATGCCTGGAACATATTAGCATCTCCAGAAACTGTAATAACATAAATACAGTGTGTATCTTCTTGCAGTTCAGTTCAGAAAAACATAGTGTCAGTTGGTGAGCTGTAAATATAACTTCTCTGAATTTTTCCTGTGTGATTTTAACATTTTGATGGTAGGATCTTCCTTGGCACATAATGGAGGCGAGGGAAGAGTATTGATTTTATCTATTGATTTATTGGTACTTAAGTCCCAATACCTAGTGGTCCTCAAACTAGACTGATACTAGCTAGTTAAACTTATGAGCTTTGAAAATGATCCTGTCTTTTGAAGTTAACGTGTGGGTGGGTGGGTGTGTCTGTGTGTGTTAGTTTTTACCAATTACTTATCAGATTCTGTTTTAACAAACCCTATTGTTTCTCTTTTGCTTGTTTCAGGAAACAGTTCCCATGTTACACACAGCAAATACTAACAGAGCACTGTAATGAAGTATGGTTCTGTAAATTCTCCAATGATGGAACTAAACTAGCAACGGGATCAAAGGACACAACTGTTATTATATGGCAGGTTGATCCAGTAAGTGCTCAGACTTTAATATGTGTATGTTTAAACATAAAAAAAGATAAGCAGACTGCATCTCTTCTAAATCATGTAGATATTCTTAAATATTCATTATGCTTTTGTCTAAACCTTTCCTAAAGTTTTTGGTATTATTTCAGTGAAGACCTTTATTTCAAATCCTTTTCTTCTTCTTCATACACACACTTTTTTAAACTTTAAGTTGCTTAATTTAGAATGACTTCAAATAAGTTTTCACAATTTTAAACGTCACCTTTGTTTTTTGAGAGAGAGAATGTCACAAACCATATAGAAGTTTCATCAACGTATCTACTAGTTTCCCTTACACGTACAACATCAGGAACTTTTCTTGAGTCATGTTCTGTGTGAACTTGGAAAAGCTCATCAAGAAAGGATGTACAATTTTTTTTCAAGATTAAGTTTCCCTGGTGTTTTAAATTACTATATATTGCTTATTTGCTTTTGCTACATGAAAACTGCCAAATCTCCTTACCCTTACTCTACCGTAGCTATTGGATATCAGTATCTTTCCTGTCTGAGTTGTATTTTCTTGTAAATAAAATACGTTAGCAGTCACTCTGGGATTATTCAGGTCCTAGTGATATGTACATGCACACACTATATAGTTTCTTGGGGTTGTCACTTAAACCTTTTGAGAGTATTCTAAAAATTATATTGGGCTTTTGTTACTCCCAACCCCAGTTATGAATTTGCAAGCTGATCTTGTGTCCTGCAGCAGGATCTGAATTGAAGGGGAGCCTCCTTCTCTTCTCCCTTGTTCCTGTATCTGCCCACTTCCTCTGCTCCCCCTTCTTCTGCCCCCTCTCCTCTCCCAAATAAATAGAGGGAATATTGTCTTAATTGTTTTTTTCCATCCATGTGCAGAATACATTTCATGTGCACTGGGGCATGTGCAAATGTGCACCACCAATGGAAACACAAAACCTACCTGTAGGGGCTCTGGTAATGAGCTTGCCAGCATTTAAACTTCTCTTGAGCAGCTGCATGAGCGTACAGCTTACAGGGAACACTCGTTAGGAGGGAATATACCACTTGAATTCTTCACTGTTGGGGAAGGGTAGGGGATTTTGAAAACAGTTAAGACTAGTTTTGTGTGTACATCCAGCATGGAAAAACTTACTTAAGGAGTATCAACACTGGAGATAATTTTTAATTGGAGCCAAACCACTCTATGTTTATAAATGTCAAGAGATTGTTAGAAAATAGGGTCTGGGGCTTTTTTTGTTAAGCATGAAGTGGAAGCTTTAACTTATGGAAAATTTATTAAACAGATCTATGCTACAAAATAATACCTTCAGTACAAGCAAATAGTTTCATAGTGAATCATTAATTATATCCTATTTAATCGTACTAAAAGAAATGCATTTTAAATGTTTGAAATTATGCCAAAAAGTTAAGTAAGCATGGGTCATTAGAAGAATAAACTGATGAAACACACACAGCTTTTCCAATTGCTGCTATTTAGAAAAATTCCAATAAACTGCATTAGGTCTATTAACAGTCAGTAGATTTGAAATTCCTTCCTCTGTAAAGTTGAAGGATAAACTCTTGTTATAGGATACTAGGGAGTTGTGCCACATGCTCGCCAACCCCTACGGGGATAGGTGTGTGGCGTAGGGGACAGTGCAGGAGTGGGCTGAGGGCAGGGTGTCTGGCTGAGGGGAGAGGGAAGAAGCAGACTGCAGGTAGGTGACTAGCCAGCGGGGAGGGTGCAAGAGCAGGCTGGGGGTAGGAGTCTGACCAGTGGGGAGGGGAAAGGGCAGGCTGGGGGTGCAGGGTCTCAGTGGAAGGGATGAGTAAGGGGGCTGCAGGTGCAAGGTCTCACCACTGTTGCGAGTGAGGGGACTGGGCCGAGGGTGTGTGAGATGAGGATGGGGACGGTCATGTGACTCCCTCCTCCCTCCCCCCCCCACGGGGGGAGCCCTCGTGGCTTCTGAACCCTCCCTCCGCACAAGGGGGGCAGGGATAGGCCATGTACCAGGAAGGGAGGAGACAGGGCAGCTGAGGGTGGAGCGATGGGCTGTGGGATGCAGAGTGATGTGATGACGTCACTCTGTCGTCCCAGAGGAAAAGTTTGTGTGTGGGGGGAGGGAGTCTATTCCTGGCTCTGGCCTGAGTTACCACTCAGTCATTTGGTTGCATAGTTGCCAGGGCCTATGGAGTTCATTTGTTTCTCTTCACTTTATTTCAAGTGACTGTTGAAAATTAACAAAACTGGTTCTAAAGACTTCGTCATACAGATTTTCAGTAATATTTTAATCCTTTTTTTGGTCTGCATCAGTAGTCAGTAAAGAGCATCCAAACCCTCATATTTTTCCTGAAAATAAACTTATCCCCACCCATCGAAGTTGTTCCATTCCTATCACACCAGCTATCCCACATACATTGAATTCGGTCTTGCCTCTTGCACTAGCTTCAGCCTCCTTATCCAGAGATTCTGCTCTCATTTCCTCTTGCTGCTCTTGTACTACTTCCAGTCCCACTAGATTGCTCACTTGCTCAGATTCTGTCCTGTCACTTAGTACCTTGACTTAATGGAACCACTTATGGGGAAAAGTACTCTACGTAAGGTGGCTGAATCTTGCCTTGGTGCTTACCTGCTACCTCTGGGAAAAAAATACCATCTTGCACACCATGTATCATCCTCTTCAAATTCAGCTTTAAACTTGTTTTTCATCCATTCTGGGCATCTTTTCTGTCAGTTTAGGAAAAGGTGAATATTGTTCAGTGTTTTTGTTTTGTCTTGTCTTAGAATGTGAGCTCTTACTGTAGGAAATATTATGACCCTTCTGTAAGGGAATATATCAACTTAGTTATGAAAAATATGTTGACCTGTTTCAACACTCGTGTGTGTGTGTGTGTAGGTGGAGGGGTTGGCTTTGAAATTGCAGTAAATCCATACTAGTTTTAGAGCAGTGCTGTTGTAGTTGATCACTGTGCACAAAGACTTAAAAGATGTTTACCAGAAGCCAATACAGAAGCTTGGGGAATGGTGCTACTGAGGCAAGGTCTTGAGGTTTGTGTACTTTCAGCTGCTGTTAAACCTCCCCTGTAATTTCTCTGTTGGAAGGAAGATTAGACCTTTCCCTTTCCTCCGAGCCTCTTTGCAATTGAAATGAGGTGGGGGTGAGTTCTGCCTTATGGAAAAAGGGTTGCCTACTATAATTCATCAAGTCAGTGGCCATAACTCAATCTTCCATTGGACGTGTAGCATTTTGGTAGACCTAGACCTGTCACACTCTGGCAGCAACTCAGGCTCCTCTTCCTAACCATTTGCTTCTACCAATTTCTAACTTTACAATTACAGGCAAGTGTAAACAGACCTCTAGATTAATAATAGGGAATTCTGCTTTTCTATTGCAAACTTCTAAAATATGGAGCAACTGGATTTCAGAGCTAAAAGACCTAAAATTTTGGAAGCTATGGGGAGCTAATAATTCTGGCTATATGGAGGAAATCTTTCTTGCTGGAGGTACTGCTGCAGCATATTTTCCCCTTTCAGTAACAGGACAGCAAGAGCAATGGCACTGAAGCATGAAGAAAAGAGCAAGAAAAGCAGAGTTTTTCCTATTCTATCATGGACAGATCGGTCACACAATAAAAGGATTTGGTGATTGCATAAGATTTTTTTTGTATAGGGATTGCGTAGGCATCCATCTCCCAGTGGACACAGAAGAAGGTGCAGGAGAAGTGACGGGTGACTGGCATGCACTTGCCCACCTTGAAGGCCAGAGAATACGGGCTGAAGGCATAAATGCCTGTGCCAGGCCCAGAATCCCTCAGCTTCCTTCACTGAGGGTACCGCATCTGTCAGGGTTCAGTTGAATTCTCTCTTCAAGATGCCATGAATAAGGCTAAAATAAAACAGAGGGAGGGCTGTTGGAGACCTAGGACTCCGAATAAATTCCGGAGTTTGTTTTCATATAAAGAGCCCCTAACAAAAGGGGAGAAAATTCCTGTCCTCTTAATAAAAGTATGTCCAAAAATGGATATAAGAAGCTGTGCATTGTTTTCTCTCCTCACCTTCATAGCAGGTGGAAGGGGAGGGGTTGAAGGTATGATTCTAGCTATCTGGGCCTTAAGTGCCAAGATGCATGTGACTCACATTTGATCTGGATCTCCTCAGCTGAAGTTACTAACATTAACTTTAAAATGATCTTGTTATCTATGTTGTCGTGAAGGAGTGGAGATCTTTTGGCAGTTGTAAATGGAGATGTGGTTTCTAATGGAGCTGGGACTTGATTCTTGGCAGTTTCTTACCGTCCCTTCAGAGGGAAGCAAATCCCTTGTTCTTATGGGCAATAGTCTCTTCTTGTCTATGAAAAATCTTAATATAGAAAGGACTGGCAAAGTAAACGGAGACTTTGTTTCAGAGTCTGACAGCTTTTTAGACTACCAACCATGACTGCTACTTCACATCCAGGAGCCACTGCAAAATCATATTCTTGTCCAGAAGAAAATACTTGAAAGTTGCTGTTGTGAATTCACTGTCTGGGGAAACCCCGCATGCTGCTCTAATCATTTTTACTGTTCTCATTTTCGGGTCCATTTGTGGGGCCACATTGTTCCTGGGTAAGGAGACTTGCTTTACAGTAACAGCATGATAGAAAAGACTTCTCCTTTCTACACTGCAGAAGGCTGTCTTGTAACAGTGCCTCATCATGATCCAGTCTTCCCAAACCTAGTTGCCTGGCATTTAAAAGAATTAATTGGGATTTTTTTGGTTGTGGTTTGTCCTGACCATCATAGTTACTCTGATATCTTTTCCTGAATGTCTGCTTCAAATACCCTCCAATTTGGCAGAGAGACTGAAACAGGGACTAATATTGGGACTCAACAAGTAGTAGAAATCCTCCAAGAAGATTTAGCTTTGGAAATGATGATGAAGTTTCTGCATTACTTTGCATCCCGTGGTTAAGAAACTGCTTGAACAAAAACAAAACACTTCCGTGCACCTGGTTATCCAGAGGATTTTTTTTTTAGAGCAGCTTTGTTGACCAGGTATTTCTTTGGAAATTTTAATTTTGTTTTAATGTCATGCAAAAACCCATTCAAGGGACCATATGGCTGTTAACCAATAGGTTGACTAAAGTCTACAAAATTGTTCTCAAACTTCAGTGGGAATGGCCTTAGGAAGGAGAGATGCGGGCTTCACTGCAGACAGGTTTTTGTAAGCAGGAATCAGAGTATCTCCGAGTCTTTGTTCCCTTTCTAGAAGATCTTAGGCTGCTCAGCAACTCTGTTACTGATTTGTGGACTTTGCTTCACCAAAGAATAGAAAATCTCATCTGTCGTCTTTGTCAAGTAGCAAGGCCTGTACACTTACCTCATCTGAAGGAAAATTAAGGGATATATGAAGGAGTTTATATATTGAAATTTAACTGAGTAAACTCATTTCCTGAGGTAGGCGTATATTTTAATTTAAAAAAATAAACTAAATCATAACTGGAGATGACCTAAATTGGAGAGCAAATTCAGAGGAAGGTTTTTAAGGTGCTGTCAGTATTAAATCTGTCAGCTTCATGCGGTACTCATTGGGCCTTCTGCTTTCTGGATCTGTGGACCTTGCTATTTGAAGAAAGGAAAATTTTCAGGTAAGCACAAATAAATAATCCTAACCTATCTCTTTTCCTAGCCTGTTTTTAGGTTATATAAATACCCCCAGTGCCTGTCTTTGCTGCTCTTTGTTTTCCTCGGATAGGAGGAATTAATTAATGAGTGTAGTCAGTTTCATTACTGCAGTTTGGACCCTTAAAGGCAGAAGGAAAAATAACAATAGTCTTGCTTTCATAATGAAAGCATGGGAAAATGAGACTGTTTTTGCTGTTTTCACTTCTGCTTATACAGTTCTAGCCTGTAGTAGTGAAAATTACTACAATAATCACATTTCCTCAACTTTGGCTAGGAGTACTGACAAACTGGATTTGTGTGTGGACTCAGTACTGAATTGGTTAAAGTTCAGAAGGCTAACGCTACATTCTTTACTTTTCAGGAGTGATGAGTAGAGTTGGCTTTTTTTCAGTCCTTGAAAAGACTTTTGAGTATAGGAAAAGACAAAAGCTGCAAAGATCAGTGAGCAAAAAGGAAATGTTTCCAAGTAATGGAGAGTAAAAATGCCTAATAATTTACTCCCTTGATTGACTAAGTTATTCCTAAACTGTAATCTCTATATGCCGCATCTTTATTGTGACTTGGAACAGATTCCCAGCTCGACACCAGTGTGATTACAGTGGGATGGGCCAGAACTTAACTGGAACCTTTTCAGGGTTTGGATTGAGCCGGCAATTGATAGGGTTTTTAATAGCCCAAACTCCCTGATATTTCCAATAGTTGATGACTATCGTCAGACTTCACTCTAATGAGCTGTCCTGCCATTTAAATTGCTAAGCATTGTCTTGCATTGTACAGTCCAACTACGACTTAAGTGATTCAATAGGCAGAAGGAGTTCCTCATGCATTAAACTGTCAGTATTAATGACTAAATACGATACAAACAAAGACATCTCTTCATAACTGACTTAGTCCTCTAACATTTAGTAACATTTTAATAAGGGATGCTCTTTTAATTCCTAAAACTACGGGAAAATATTATGGTCATTTGACTATTTGATTTAATAACTAGCAGTTGGAAATGTAGTTGCTGACTATGGCACTAGGAGCCAGGAACTCGGAAATTCTAATCCTAATTCTGTCCCTCAGTGCCTGGTCGAAGACAGATCACCTACCTCCTTGTCTTATTTAATCATGTTGTAAAACATGGGTAGTAATACTGGTTTACTTCACAATGGTGCAAAGACTGTGTAAAGTTCCTACGGTGTTTTGAAGATTAAATATTGCATAATTTCTAGGTTCCATGCATAATGGTAAGTATGGGCCACGTTGTACAGGTTGGACCTCCCTTGTCTGGCACCCTTGGGACCTGACCCATCCCGAAATGAGGGAATTTGCTGGCCCCACTGTCACCGGGCTCCAGTCTGCAGGGCTTGGATTTGGGCTCCAGTCTCTGGGGCTCCTTTGTTTCCCAGCCACCATGACCACTTCTTCCCCGCCTAACTGGGGATCCCAAGGAACAGCGCTTGCCAGCTACCATGCTCTGCCTGCGATCCCTGAAACAGGGCGTCCCAGTTGCCCTGCTTTTGTTGCTGGCTGCCCCACTACTGCCCTGCCCAGCTAGGGCTCCCTGGGATGGGTCTTGCTGGTTCTTCTGTTGTCCCGCCCAATTGGGGTTCCCCAGAGACAGGGCTTGCCGGCCCCAGAGATGGGGCTCCCAGCCGGTTCACACTCCTGGGTGCTGGGGCTCTCTGATCCAGCAACATCAGTGGTCCTGCTGAGTTTAGGGTTTTAGAGGTTCAACCTGTAGTATTGTTTTTGCACAGAACTATTCACTGAATTCCACAACAAAGGAAGAATATAACATCAGAATACCGACTAGAACATCCCTCTGTATGCTGAGGATGTTGGAAAGGCTTTTTGTCTGTGCCTATGGATCTATTCTCTCTTGGGTACTAACTGTTTACTTTCAGATAAGAGGTTAAGATTCTTTAAAGAGAATGTTTGTGTGTTAAAAGATAATGGCCAAAACATGCGGGCCAGAATTGGGTAGAAATTCTATCTCAACTCAGGACTGTTGGCTTGACAGCAACTCAAATGGTTATGCCAAATGTTGACTAATGTGTGTGTGTGTGTGTGTGTGTGTGTGTGTGTGTGTGTGTAATTATATATAATATATATATGTGTGTTTATTTTACTTAGGATACACACCAGCTAAAATTGCTTAAGACATTAGAAGGACATGCATATGGTGTTTCTTACATTGCTTGGAGTCCAGATGACAACTATCTTGTTGCCTGTGGCCCAGATGACTGCTCTGAACTGTGGCTCTGGAATGTACAAGTAAGCAATCAATCTTCATATAAAATTTTATGTTTTAACATCAGCAGTTGATTTGTTATGCATTGGAACTGTTCAGAAAAGATGAAATCATATCAGTAAGTTTGTTTCCATATAAGTCAACATAGAAACATTGCAGTTTTTCATTTTATTAAAAAGAATGCAAATAGACCCGAATCTTTTCCAAATCCAGATAGAATATAACATGTCTACTAAATGTGAATAGAACTTAAACTGATTTATCAGCGAGTCTGCTGTTCATGGATATGTCCTTTCAACTCTGATTACAAGGAGTTGGCTGCCACGTTTTCATTCCAAGTGATCACTCATACCCAAGAGAAGTTACCTATTTTTAAAAACAAAAAAACCCTCTAGATACTACACTTGAAGAGGATTTCTTTGATTTATAAAGCATGAATTCCTGTAATGCTATGCTTTTTATAAAGGTGGGTTGTAATGCTTCTAATAGTCAAGTGACAGTGACGTGGCACTTATCTCTGAGGTGAGGAAGTTGCCAAGAGCCCAAGTACTGGAGTTTCTTCAATTTTGTGATCCAAGTGGCTGGTTGGTGGAATCTGACCTATCCGCAAAGTGCCGAGAAACTTTTAGATGTGATCCAAGAGCATTTGGTCTTGTCACTTAGGGGGCAGTCAAGAATAACTTACTTTTTCTCGAAGAAGCATTTAGTCTTTTCCTCCAAATAAGTATGCTATCCCTGCTTTACAATCCATGGACAAAAGTCCATCCTAGCATTGAGAGTTAGTGTGCAGTATCTAGATGATACCATAAGAGATAGTAAGGAAGACAAGGTTGTTGCAGAGAAGCTAACTGAACTCTGCATTGTCTTCGCTGAAGAGAATGAGAGAGAGAATCCTGCCCCTGAACCGTTCTTTTAGGTGACAAATTTGAGGAACTGTCCCAGATTATGGAGTCAGAGATGGTTTTGGAACAAATTGGTAAATTTAAAGTCGTCCGAGCAGGTGATACTTACCCAAGTAATTCCAAAGAAGCTCAAATATGAAAGTGAAAAACTGTTGCGGTATGCACTTCCTTCAATCAGTCTCTGTAGGAATTGACTGGAGCTTAGCTATTATAATGCTAATTTTAAGAGGTGATCTTGGTAAATGCAGGCCAGTAAACCTAATTTTGGTACCAGGTAAGATGGTTGAAACTCTGGTCAATAGAATTATCAGAAACAGCAGTAAATATATGTTATGTTGTGGGTGTGTCAATACATTGTTTGTAAAGAGAAAAAATCCTGCTTCATAAATCTTTTAAAATTCTTGAGGGGGAGTCAACAAACGTGGATATAGAGTACATTCAGAAAGCACCAAAGACTCCTAAGCAAAATGAACAGTTGTGAGAAAAGAGAGAAGCTCCACTTATGGATCAGTAACTAGTTGAGATGGGAATAAATTATCAGTTTTCATAACAGAGCGGTGAATAAGGAGCACCCCCATAGATCTGTCCTGGGACTAGTGCTGTTCAGTATGTTCATAAATTATCTAGAAGAAGTGAGATAGCAAAACTTGGAAATATAAAATTAAATGGTGAAAGTCCAAAGCATCTTGAGAAGAGTTAAAAGGGATCTCACTAAACTGGGTGGCTGGGCAACAAAGTGGCAGATGAAAATTCAGTGTTGTTAATGTGCAAAGTAATACACGTTGGGGGAAGACTAATCCCAATGATACATATAAAATGATGTGGTCTAAATTAGCTGTTATAGCTCAAAAAAAGATCCTGGAGTCACTGTGGATAGTTCTCTGAAAATAACCATTCAACGTGCAGCGGCAGTCAGAAAAGCAAATAGAATGTTAGGAATCATTAAGAAAGATATAAAAAGACAGTAAATCACGTGCCAATATATAAATTCGTGGTATATCCACACCTTGAATACTGCATGCAGTTCTGGTTTCTCCCTTTTAAAAAAATACCATATTGGAAAAGGTACAGAGAAGAGCAACAAAAATTATTAGGGTTATTGAAAAGCTTCCACATACAGAGATAAGATGACGAAGGCGATTTTATTATAAACGTCTATAAAATGATGAACAATGTGGAGAAGGTGAATAAGGAAGTGTTTACCCCTTCACAAATATGAACTTGAAATCACCCAGTTAGTTTTAAATCTGCTGCCTATTAATTTAACATAAGGAAGAAGTGCTTTGCACTATGTGTAGTCAACCTGTGGATTGTTGTTGTCAGGTATTGAGGCCAAAAGTGAAATTTGGTTTAAAAAAAAAAAAAGTTAAGTTTTAATGGAGGATATGTCCATCAGCGACTATTAGCCAAAATTGTCAGGGATGTTTTGGGTGTTCCTAATCCTCTAACAGCTAGAAATGGGAAGTAAACAACAAGGGATGGATCACATAATTACTCTGTTCTGTTCATTCCCTCTGAAGCAGCTGTTGCTGAAAGACAGGATGGTTGGCTAAATACTCCACTGGTTTGACCCACTATCAGCATTCTTATATTCTTCCATTCTTAAGATTTTGTTGATAATCTGTTTTCTAGTATTATCTCTTCATTCTTTTGGTTTCTTTCTCACTCCTTTTTTTTTCTTTTTCTTTTTTCCTTTTCCTTTCCTATGACTCTTACTCATCTTTTTCCTTCTTTCATTGATCCTTCCTTAATGTCTCTTCTTTCCTTTCTTTTCCCCTCCAATCCATGAAATACACCTGCTGACTGTGCAGGCTACAGATCTGAAGCAGAAGCAAAAAAGTTCTAAATCTGAACTCCTTGCAGTTGCTGGAGTAAGAACATGGCTGACAGTTTCCCAGGCTGAACAAAAATTAGAATAGCTCCAGCTTTACCTGACTGCTCTCTAGAAGGCTTTGATAATGTGCAACTTTTTTACCCCTTTATTTAATTAATGCAATGAAATGTCCATAATTAGAAACACTAGGATAAGTTTTCATGCAAATCTGTTAATTATATATGTCTGTAAAGGTGGGGAATGCTAGATTCTGTGGTGTTTGATTTTTCTTTTGTTTCCTCTCCAGACTGGGGAGCTGAGGACAAAAATGAGCCAATCTCATGAAGACAGTTTAACCAGTGTGGCTTGGAATCCAGATGGGAAACGCTTTGTAACAGGAGGGCAGCGTGGACAGTTCTATCAGTGTGTAAGTTCTTTTAATTGTGACTACTAAAAGCTCTGATTAGAATTCCTAAGAAATTTAAGTTAACACCTTGGTTATATTTTCTTCCTATACAGGATCTAGATGGTAATCTCCTTGACTCTTGGGAAGGAGTGAGAGTGCAATGCCTCTGGTGTTTGAGTGACGGCAAGACTGTTCTGGCATCGGACACACACCAACGAATTCGGGGTTATAACTTTGAGGACCTTACGGACAGGAACATGTAACTATCTTTTATTAAAAATTCCCTAATAACGCTAGTCTGATTCCCGTGTTGTGAAAATTTCTGATACATTACATTTGAATAGTTTCTTTATGGACCCAGCAAATGCTGAAATAGAACCAGATGACTTCTGTTCAGTTCTTGTTGTAATCCCCTTTCAAATACAAAAGTAATGGCCCACTTGGTTATAACCACGAGTGAAAACATTGCAAGTGAAAACTTTTTATGCTTTTTTGGTGGTATTTTTTTAAATGTCCAAATAGCAGTACTGCTAACTTTATGGTCTCTCTCCTGTGATTTCAGAGTACAAGAAGATCATCCTATTATGTCATTCACGATTTCAAAAAATGGCAGATTAGCTTTGTTAAATGTAGCAACTCAGGTAAGTTGATAAAAATACAAGAAAGATGTTTTCTTTCCACTGCTAAATTTTTTTTAGAAAATTTTAAGGAATTTAGGATTTGTAATAAACAGGCAAGGCAGTGTTCTACACAACATGTGAAGTCTGTGTGTGTGTGTGTAATATGCAATATATATACGTACATATATACCCACACAAATAATCAAATATAGGATTCTCCAAAAGGGACAATGTGTCATTTTGAAAAACTTCACAAAACTTAGTATAAATAAAGTATTTGCCACTAGATTTTAACACTTCATTTTACTATTCCCAATGTTGTAGCAATATTCTAGAATTGCTATCCCTGGATTATTCCTGTTCCACATAATTAACATTTCTTTATGGACTTGAAAGTTTATTTTGGAAATCACAAAGTGGAGAACTGGCTGCTAGAATGGGAGACAGGACAACAGTTTAATCTATTGTTCCAGTGCAGTGGTGCTCAAAGTTTTCATCACTGTCCCCGGTTTCATTCGCAACCCCTGGAGCCAGGAAACTTTTTGATGAGCAATAAAAAAAAAAAAAGATGGAAACATTTTGTTGCGGCCCCTTTATTTTAAAGCACCGGTCCGCTCCCCTGTCACTCTCCCCACCCCTGCTGCATGTACGTCGGGCGCCGAGCTGGGAAAACAAAATGCCGGCCAGCCCAGATCAAAGCACTGTGAAGTCGTGTGTCCCTCTCCCTTCTCCCCCCCAGGAAGATGGCTGCAACCCCTTTGGGGGTCGCATCCCTCGGGTTGCACATCGCTGTTCTAGTGCATAATATCCATTCAGTTTCACATTGTAGTCTTATTGCATAAACTGGTTGACATGCCAAAAATAAACAAATGATAAAAGTGGAATACTTCAAACGTAGGTGCTGGATATTGTCTTATAATAAAAATAACCTCTGGCATTCTCTTTGCCCCCCTCCCAGGGAGTTCACTTATGGGACTTGCAAGATAGAGTTTTAGTGAGAAAGTATCAAGGTGTTACACAAGGGTTTTACACAATTCACTCGTGTTTTGGAGGCCATAATGAAGACTTCATCGCTAGTGGCAGTGAAGGTAATATCGGCTTTAAAGACTTCAGACGTCAGTTGATGTACATTTCACACGTACTTTGTGTATAAAAGAAAATGATACAATGTATTTTAATTAGTGTTAGTTGCTGGAAATAGTATACAAGGATAGGAGTAAACAAAGGTGCGTGTTGCTGCTCCTAAAGTTATAATATTGTAAGGGACAATCCTACTCTACTAGAGAGGATAGCCTGTATGCTTTGGGTCTCTTCTATCTTTCTCCTTTAAGGATACATCTAGACAGCGGAGCTATTTCAGGATATTGGAGGTATCCCAAAATAGCTTTACTCTTCTTCTCTCCCCTTCCCGCCCCCCCATCTTTTAAACGTGACCATTATTTCGAAATATTTTTCGAAATAACGGGCATGCTATTCTGGTATCCCTGTAACCCTCATTCCACAAAGGTTAAAGGATGGTTCGAAATAGTGCGTTATTTAAAAATTTGAGACTGTGTAGATGTTCCAAATTTGGAAATAAGCTACTTTGAAACAGTCGAGATAAGATACGCAATTTGCGTATCTTATTTTGAGTTTAAGGTTCTGTGTAGATGCACCCTAAGAGATTAATAATAAGTTTTGTGTGTGTGTGTCAAGAGGCATGACATTAGCAGTTCTGCTTTTGGTCAAAATAGTTGTAGTGAGGAATTTAAATTCATTGGATTGATAGTTTTTAAAAGACAGGTGTGGTCAGATAATTTCAATTCCAAGAGTAGTCATCTCAAATCAAGTGAAATTAATTACAATGAGAAGAAAAACAGTCATCTAGTAATTAGTTACAATGAGAAGAAAAACAGTCATCCAGCAGTTGATGACATGGTGTGTCTAGCGTGGGTTAGTTTTATTGTGACTTTCGTGTTTTTCATACTAGCAAGTAGTCTGTGGTGAGGATAAAATTTAGTTTACTGAGCCTATCCCAAACTGTTTGAGTGAACTAATTCAGGCTTGTGAGGGGTTTAACTCCTTCAACTCCCATTTGAGATCAATGAGACTTGAGGGTGCTGAGCCCTGTGTAGGCCCAGTATTTGTGGTGCAAGAAAGTAAATTGAGAAACCACTGTTTGGACTCAGTAGCTCAGAGTTGAGTCTTTTTGGAAAGAGGAAATATTGACTAGCACACTAGAGCAATTTTCTTACTCTTTGGAAGTGAAGAAAGATTAAATTTAAACCAAGGTTCCCCTCTGCCCTTAGTGGAAGATACCAACTGAAAGAGAGCGCCTGTGTCATCAATGTCATCCTCATCAGCTTTGAGCCAAAGTTCTGGCGTGGGATTTAGTACTTGTCAAAGTTCAGGGTGTGGATGCTGAGTCATACTTACGCTTTGTGTGGGGAAGTGTACATGCTACAATACGTCGTGTGTGTGTGTGGTGGTTTTTTTTTTTTAAATGGACACTTCACGTATGACCTACTGTGTGTGTGACATTAATGTGGTAATTAATTTATCTGGGTCATCATTTAAGAACAGCTTTTTTATTTTTTTTTATTTTCAGTGTCTAAAAACTACCCAGCTGTAGTTGAAGCTGATGGCACCTTATTTAGATTCGGACTGCCAGAGGCTGTTGCCTCTTTGCACTGAATTGTTGCAAATGTGGCTGCTGTGAAAGTCTCTATGTACAAAAAAGTAACAGATTAGAATGTCATAACCTCTTAAATGTAAAGGTATGTTGTCAGATAGGTAGGCTTTTTCTACCACCTGCACTTATAGGAAGAAAATAAGAGATTTCTTTTGAAAGTAAAATTGACTTCTGCCTTAATCTAGCTCATGTGCTTTTTCTTTTTTTAAACAAACATACACTGTCAAGCATCAAAATGCTGGCTTGTGTTTACATTTTGATTCTCCAGATAGCAGATGCTAGGCTTATGGCCCAGAATCGATAGAGCACTGGTTTGGTTTGAAACAGAGAGGGAGTGGATATTTATATGCAGTCAGGGGAGTGAAAAATGTAAACATGAGATGTATTTGATGCAAATACAATAATTTAGAGAGATTTAATTCAAATGAGCTAATTTTTAAGCGGAAGGCAATTTCTTTACCAAATGATTCCCTGGGCCTGTTTTAGCACATAGGTCAGAGTTGAGCCTGCTTTGTATGGGGTGGAATAAGGTTCTCAGACTTTTTTTTAATATATAAACCTTCAGAATCACATTGGATTGTGTAAAGTATTGTCTAAATCTGTTCCTCAAAGCTTTAAATCTGAAAAGCTAGTCTAGTAGTGTACATGTATGTGAGCAGAGAGTTTGTTGTAATTCAGTCTACGTAGCTCCATTTGAGAGCGCCTGATGCAGTCTACAGTAATAAGTCACTCTGTAGGTTTGTCTACATTAGGAGAAAATGTCATTTTAACTAGTTATTCTTTACAATGAATTTCATTTTATTTTGGGGTATGTGTGTCTGTGTTGAGAGGATTGCAATGGATTAGTTGACCAATGGCTGTTGGTTAAATACACTGCATGATAAACTGGAGTTGCTACTGTTCACAAAAGATGGTGGTTTAGAATTCTTTGAAGTCTGTGTAGTAGGCAGGACTTTACAACTTCAAAAGGCCATAAAAATTAATTAATCTTACCCTGTTTACACTTTATACATGGGGAAGCAGTGGCATAGCAGAACTATAATGGTACATGACCCCATTAGGTCATTGACCAAGTTGGTTAGAATTTTGGAAGCCTCCGTACTAAGACTTATGCTTTTAACTGTTCTAAATGTGGCCTTATTTATCTGTTCTCTAAATACTGTGGTGTTAAAATGTACATATATCTCTGAGGTTAAGACCAGTGATCAGCAGTCTTGTCCTTGAATCAGCATGCAGCATCATATCCACACCTTAAGAGGAAGTTGATTTGTGTTTCTGGCCATGTGTTGACTGACAGTTATAATTTAGTGCAGTCTCAAATGCTTTTCCTCAGTTAATGAGCTCACTAGAGCTGTCAGTCTTGTGTATGAGCTTTGCCCATATTGTCTTGATCAGATCCACTAAGAGCAAAAACAAAAGCTTGCTTCTGTTGCTGCATATTAGGGGGTTTCAATTTTAGAATTTTCAGCACTTTTTTTTGCAATACTATGTTTTTAGCATAATCTTAATATGAAAAATTACAAGATGTATGTAGTTAGGACATTTTAATTCAATATTTCTCATTCTGCTTCAAATCCATGTTTTATTTAGATCACAAAGTATATATTTGGCACAAACGTAGTGAGCTGCCAATTGCGGAGCTGACAGGGCACACACGTACAGTAAATTGTGTGAGCTGGAACCCGCAGATTCCATCCATGATGGCCAGCGCCTCTGACGATGGCACTGTTAGAATATGGGGACCAGCACCTTTCATAGACAACCAGGATATTGAAGGTAAAGCAACATCCATGTATATTTAAAAAGAAACAGTAATAGAATCTTACGTAATTGAAATAATAATCCATCTAATTGTTTTGGATTTCTTGACAATTAACATAGACTAAGAAAATAGCAAACAACCCTTAACGATCAAACTAAAAGTACATTTCCTGAAAAAGGCTTCAATTGTCAGACCCTACAACAGTCAGTCTGCTTATTCCTGAACACCTACAACATGATCCTATTGAAGGCATCCAGGAACCATTTCAATTCCCTGAAGTGGCGCTAGAGTGGATTATGTGACTAGATACCTTGAGATGGCCTTAACATTGCTTGTGTTCACTGCATGTAGAATAACATTTTTCTTTACTACTTTGCATAACAGTTAGTATTGATATATTCAGACATTAAATAGCAAATAATCCTCCTACCTTGGAAACAGAATGAGGGTATTTATTCTTAAGGTAATTCAGTACATCTGAAAGGTACTAGATCGCCCTGGTAACTAATTATTTACTCAGAGACATTGCAATTCTACTGCCTGTACATTACAAGTTTTCCCCCACCACGATCTCTTCTCTGAGAGAATTCCCATGTCTAGTTAGTCCCTAGCCCTTCTACTGAGACCCCTCTTGTGTGGACACCTGCCACTGAACAGCTGTCTGGTGATGTGACAAACTAAATCAGCTCTATACTTAGATGTAACTTAGAATATACAGTATTTTACAAGTTCCACTAAAATCAATACTCTCTAATTTCTGTCATCCTGCATTCCTTTCTCTTTCCACCACCTGAATGCTAACCTAGATTTGCAGATTTGCCACTGACAAGAAAACATGCTTATGATTAACGGGGAAAAATAGGGGAGGAGGTAAACTTAAAAGAAGCCCGCATTGTCTTTACTTTATAATGTAGCAGGTTTAGTGGTTTGATATTTCAGGAACTGAAAATAAGACAACAATTTTTATAATTGTTTTCACTTACTGTTCTCTGTGAACTACCCAACAGGGCAGTCTCTTTAGTGATCCTTTCCTAGTATGCTCTGTTGCTGACAATTTTTAAGATCTAGAGAGAGATTTCTTTTGAAGAGTAAGAGCAGTAAGGTTCAACTAGAGGAAAAATCACGTTTGTTCTAAATCAGTGTCTACCACATGATTTATTTTCAGTTTGTCACTAAATTTTTAAGATGTATGTTGAGTAATAAAAGTTTTCAAATACAAATATCCTTGCTCTCCTTTCAGGAAAATACTACACAGTAAGTCAGAGAGAGAATTTTTGTAAAAGCAAAAAAATTTCTTAGTTAATTGTATTAATAAATTGGAAAAGAGTAACTCCCCTTCAGGGAAGAGAATAAATCCACAAAACACAATTACTCTGAATCAAACGTGTGTTACCCCTCTCCCCTTCCCCCCAAATGTTGGAGGCTGTTACATCTTGAAAAATTATCATCCAAGTTTAATCTTTCTTTTACATTTCATCTTGTCTTTGCTCAGAGGAATGCAGTAGCATGGATAGTTGATGGTGATTTTGGAGCAGACGACTTCTCTTTAACTTAAAATTAGTCGTATTTTAAATGGCTTGGGATTTGGTGCAAACAACATGATTGATAGCTGGACAGACATGCTCGTCATGAAAAAAGAACCATTTCTGAAGCCCGATCGGGGCCAAACATTTACCACCTTGCTTCATAGTAACCAGTTGAGATGAAGCACGTCGTTAGAACGTTGTTGGACGCCGTGTCGAATTACCCCCTCCCATCGGTTGTGAAGAACTGTGCTACATTCAGGCTAACCATTGAACTCAGTATATATATTTTTTCCCTTCTGCCTTTTTGTCTGGCAGGTTACCGTTCTTGTTGCTCTTCTGTGTAATGAAGTTTAAATGCTTGTTTGGAAAACTTTATTTAACAGTTTAGAAGGCTTGATAGAAAGAGTGCTTTAGTCTGAAGAGTATACATTGGATAGGAAGGGATTTCCTTCTCTTGTTTCTCTAAATCTCTCTCCGCCTTATTTAGCTTGAGATCTTTGCAGCTTGGTTCATGGATTCTAGCCTTGCCCATTGCGCAGTATATATAAATCCAGATGATAAAACAGTGAACTATGTCAAAAGCACTCTCAATATCACACTTGACAAAAAGTTTTGTACTTTTCACATAGCTCGTTGCCCTGTAAAGGGGTTAACAGCACAATTTTTTAAAAAAATAAATTATTTATAGGATTAAAGTGACTTCATTTGTATACATTTGGAATTTAAACCAGCTTAACAGTGTCATTAAATGCAGTATAACTGATGCTCTTTCAGAGTGTCATGCAAGACATGGTCAAATGCAGTGGCTGGAAGGAGTTTTACACAGGCTACAGAAAGTATTCTTTTAAAAGAAACCTAAATTTCCATCTTAATAAAAAACAGAATTATTTAGAAGTGAGAGCTATCAAAATGCACCATCTGATGATTAAAAAGGACAAAGGTCAGTTTTTAGATTACATAAATGTGTGCAACAAGTTTGTCTTAACTTTTGCAACGATTCTGATCCAAAATTAGGATAATGCTGTTTTGCTTGGTAATTTAAAACTTAGTATAAGTACCTTTTGTCATCTGAATGACAATACATATAGATGATTTTCCCCTCAACTTAAGTACAACTGTAGAATTGTTCTTGGTGTTTGACTAACAAAGATGAATAGACCTTTTTTTTGAGACATTTTTGAAGTTTACAGGTTTAAATGTATCTGCTGGACCTTGTTCTGTGCTGGTGCTGTTAATAGCCTGCCACTTTTAGGAATGGTTCCTTTAATTTCCCATTAAAAAGACAGTTTAAGTACTGTATGCTTCTCAGAATAAACAGGTGGCCTGGTATCTCTAGTGTGCTTCTGCACTATTTGACAATTGATTATGGAATGGTGTTAGATTCCCTCTTCTCAACTGGATGGTGAAAGTAGCATCAGAGCTGCCATGAAGTAAAGAGGGAGCAGGGAAGAAGGCAGGCCATCATGAAAGATGAGAACAAAAGGGTGGATGAGACTCCGACTGGGACTAAGTAAGTACTTAATGTCCTTCTTTGTTGGGTGGAGGGATAACTTTGCCATTGTTCATGCAAAGAAAAATAGACTCTGGGTTGGCTAATGGGATTGGGGGAGAGAACACAGCAGGACCCTTTCTAAAGGTTGTGGAGGACCCAAGTGGATGCTCCCAGAGCATATAATACAAGAGAGATTCTAACAGATTATGGCCATTAGTTTCTTTGACTCTCACTTGCATGTAATCTTAAACACTATTTTTTTTTTTTCTGAAACCAACCCTTAATCTGACTTAAATACCAAAGTATAGGATTATCTGAAATAAGAACTGAATGTTAATACCATCAATCTAGTTCATTTATCTTCAGCTTCCTAAAATTATTTTTAAAAGCATTTCGATTGAATTGTAAACAAATATAGAATTCTGGTTCGTATTAAAAATCAATATTTCTATAGATCCTTTGGATTACCAACAAACCATAAAAACAAAAACAAAAATTTTCTCCAGCGTTAGGTGGTCAAGAGATCAACAGTTTCTTCTGCCATAATTAATGACATGTCACAGAATGAAGATTATAGTCTTGGTTCTGTGGTGACTGTGGTACTAGTGCAGGTTGCAGGAGAAGCAAAGAACACTGAGTTTAAGTCTTGGGAGGCTAACCATTTTGGTTTTAAATAAAAGTTGAATATCCAAATTTTGTACAGTGCTTTACATCTTCAAAGTAGCGTACACTTGTTAACAGCAACTTTGCTGCTATTTATAACATTTAAGGCTTCACATTCTATTGATTTGGCATTTTTAAGTATTTTAGAGCATTATACTCCCCTTTAAACTTGAATAAAAACCTACTCCACTAAGAGCATGTAGTGCTGTAACTGTCTTTTTTTTTTTTTTTTTTTTAAACCCTTTATATTTTTAGATGATGTGGAGCCCATTCTGTTGCTGGCTGTTCACCCCAAGATCTAACATTGACTTCACTGGGAATTGTGTGTGTAAAGAAACAAGCCCCTAATGCATACCCAGAAGACTGATTTTGTGTTTAGACACTACATAGGATTTTCAGCATAGTGTCTATAGCTAAAACTTTTAGCAGGGATCTAGTACAAGGTACATTAGAGCACACTTCAGTCAGCACCTTCTTTTTCACTGAGATGTGATGACAATTTATCTTGTCAAAATACTGGTCTCCCCTCTTTCCCCCCGCAACCTTCAAATCCAAGAGCTTCTGGACTTTAGAGTACATTCCTAATGTATATATGGTAAACACCTTGAAATGGGATTAGTCAGAAGCACATTTTGAGACTGCCACTTTTATTTATTAATAAATGCACCTATGCAATGTAGATGGTAACAAAAGCCTTCCCAGCAAGGTGGAATGAATCACTTCAGTTTTACCAAGTTTGCTATATACATTGTGCCTGCAGCTTACACATAATATGCAGAGACCGATAGAAAGGTGGGACTGGCAAAACAAAGATTTTATGGTACTTAATCTGACAGCAAGATCATCTGTAGACTTACAGGCAGTGAATGATGATTCTGACTACTGTCCTGGACTCTAAACTTTAAAAAATAAAAGAACAGCTTAAACTATTTCTAACATGCTACCACATAGTCATAATGTATGGTTTGAAAAGTACCAATACTTTTTGCCCATAGACCAAAAATGAGACTTTAGCTGTGGAAAAAGCAAATGCAGGAGAGTCATCTGCTATGTGTTAATTTCCATGTGCTTAAAAATGTTCCTAGGCAGGGATCTATTGGTTGGAGCAAATAAGAGTCATATTTATCCCCAGCGATCAGTTATTTCTAGTAACTGATGCAATACTTCTGGGGGAACATGCTGTAAACATGGGGTTTTTTTAAAAAATTTTGTAGCTGGTAATTCAGATATTCATAATAGCTACTGATTATCAGCAAGGTAAATCTTTTTATGAATTATGCTTAATTGTTTATCTGAATATACCTGCATTGTTCAGGTAGGTAGTGTGGTGGGTTTTTTTTTGGGGGGGGGGGGTTTGTTTTTGAGACAGAGAGATGATGGAACACAAAGGGGAGGGAGTAATAAGCTGCTGTTCTAAATCTCTCTTCTGAAAAATGTGTCCAATTCCCTTACTCAAATTTTTCAAATATAAAAAGTGACCCTAATTTTAAAACTAGTGCAAAGATTAAAGCTAGAAAACTATCCAACACGTGTCGTAGCTTCTTATCCTGGCTGCAAGCAGGTAATGTTTAATGCAGTGAATTCATTATTGGCAGTATTTGTGTCTAGTGACCTCCCACCACACCAATAAATAATGTTCCCAATCCAAATAAAATTGTTTATTAAGATATTGCTTTCTAGAAGGTAGAAATGACACACTCAGTCCATGTTGAGTAGATTTATATGCAGAAAGATGGGGGAATCTGCATACAACAAAGCCAGCTTTGTTGGCTGATAATGTGAGGAACAACCAGAGGAGAGAAGACCCTCAGACTCTTGTTCATCTCCCCAGAACAATAAGTTGTCTCAATTAATTTGAAACAATTGCTATAAAAAGGAGCAGCAAATCCTATAGATAGCTTTAAAAATACACAACATGGGCTCACATCCATTTTCAGTTACCTTATAGGAAGAACTGCTAATTTTAAAGGCAGTTAGCAAAACTTTATTAACTGTTGTACACTTTTTTTAAAACCAGGGTGGATTTCATTGAATTGTGCAGTGTTGTTGAACTGCTGCAGTAGCTGCCTCTAGTTGCTGAAAACAAACTATAACTCCATTTCCTGTCTAAGCCAGATTTACCTTGGTTCAGTAATACAGCTAAGTATGAATGTTTTCCCATGTGATATGAGAGAGTGAGTGTGTGTTATAGACATGGAACCAAGTGTTCTAGGTACTGGTCATGTTCTATTACATTTTTTGTCACGTTGTGTGTATGTGAGGTGTCCTCTGACTACAGACATCAGTTAATATCAGTATATTTTTATAAATCGGAAATTCAGTGTGCCCCATCTTTCACTTCAACATTTTTAATTGTTAGGGTAATGTGCTAGATTTGAATCTTAACATTTTTAGGCACAGATGGAAAAAAGTTATTGGCTCCTTGAAAATGTATGGGACAAAATGGATTATCAAAGCATGTATGTACTTACAAACCAAGCTGTAGAGATCACGAAAAGAACTTTACTGTTGATCTCAAGATTTCTAAATTGTCAAGATTTATATGGAGTTGTGGTGGAACTAGTTAACACTTAGAGCTTTTGGTATGTAATGACTATTTGCTATGGACTGATATTAAATGTTTCAAAGGATTGCGTTCTTAAACTTTCTGGATTTTTTTGTTACTGTCCTCTTGGATTATATTAAGTAGTTTAAATTTCTTTGCTATATTACATTAAAATATAAGAATGTTGGGTCTCATATTTATTTTCACTTGTTTTACTAATTTACAGAACACCCTTTGTTAATTTTTTTATTAAGTGTATTTTAAACATATCTTTAAAAAGAAAATTGTTAAATTGGAATTACATAACTTCTGATTTGCTTTTATTAGGGTTTTTTTAAAAGTACACTTTTTCCATGTCAGTGCACAGCACTTAACAGAAATGTTTGTATTCCCTTTCTTCAGTTCAATAAACAGAATGAATAACTGGACTGAACACTTCTTAATTTCCTAACAGGCTGTCAATTGGCTGTGCATTTCACCTTTGATTTGATGATTAAAATAGAACTTTAATATTTGAGCATTTTTACTGAATACTTTTCCAAATAGTTTTACTTAGATGCAAATATATGTCAAACATTTACAGCACTTTACTCTCTTGCATTTTAGTCTGTGCTTCTCTACAGTCTATGAAGGTGTGCACTTAAAATACACAGTACAAGCACTGACTGACAAATCCTTGGGATTCATATGAGAGGGCAATAATCCAGAGTGTAAATGCTAAAGGGGAAGAGTTTTATTTTACATAGCACCTCACACAGCAGGGTGCTGCTGCACTGAACTGCCAAGTAATGCTGTGCAGAGATACTAAACTTTTTTTGACTAAGTATTTCCCAACAACTTGGATAGTCCCACTTGAGGCTAGCATTGAAACTCCCCCTCCACAACAGCTACAGAGCTGGGGCTGGTCGCATATCCCAAATTCCTCCTTCCCCTATTTCTCATGCCACTATCCTTCCCACCCAGCCCTTATTTTCCCACCACTCCATCTTACATGTTTGTTCTCCAGGGTCCAGACACCTGCATGTAACACTACTCAGGAAAGCAGCCCTTCATTTTCTTGTGCACAGTTTCACAGGCACTCAGAGGGAACAAGCTATGTACCTGAATGGAGTACAGTGGGCCAAATTTCAGGAATAAAACCTCTTTTAGAAGAGCCCTTATTCCTCCTGAGAGGAGAGAGCTTCCGAAATAGTGCATCTGCTCTTCCACAAAAATAAGCAGAAGAGCAGAGGTGTTCCCTGGATGCAGCAGTTTTTCAACCCCATAGTCTAGACATAGCCTCACTTCCAGCTGTAGTGCAGATATATCCACTGATCCTCTTATTCCTGTGACATTAGACATTCTTTTCAAGCTATGCTTTTACATAAGTGGATTACCTTAAACTTAGACACTGCCATGAGCAGTACCACGTAACTATTAGAATGCTGGGGGTTTGGAAATATTTATTAAAAGTAGATGCCATAATATCTACTCTTGGCCCTGGTACTTACCTTTGCTGTTCCTTACTTTGCTTCTGTCTGGAATTTTGTTAAATACCCATTAGAAAATCATTTCACTTCTGTACACAAATTACTGTTTAAAAACTATAAACTGAGGCATGTTTGGCTACAGCAAACTTCCCTTTGTATGTACTAGACTTTTCCCTTACAGCCATCAGCTACATCTGTTTGCCACTCTCTTAGGCCTTATCTCTACTGCCAATTTCAAGCAAGTCTGCTGTCAGTGCTAGTAATGGTTCGGGTGCTGCAGTAGACTGTCAGCATTAATTCTACCACCATTTGGACCATCAACATCTTGCCCTTTAAGAGCTTCAACAGAATGTTTTCTGACTGCTGACCTTCATATTGACAAAATACTTTTGGATAAAGGGACTGGGGCAAGAAGTGAGCAGAAGTCTCATACATGTCATTGTTTCAGGAAAATAGGGTCGGACATATAGGCTAATACAATGAGAAGCATCCATTTAGCATAGAAATAGGCTATGAATTTCAAATGCTAAGCTTATTACTGCCTGAGTTCTCAGCATGTGTCTTGTGACATTCCAAATTCTAGAGTTGCAGTGCAAATCTGGTGTGAAAGGATACTACTTGGTTCCTTGAAGCTACTGGACTACACAAAGACCACCTCACAGAAAAAATGATTTTATTTTTGTTCTGAACACAACCCACAGTGAACACTTGACCCCAAAAAACTGTGCATATCTAGAAGGCAGAGGGAGCCAGTAACTGGAACATGGAGTTGAATGAACTGTTAGACTCTCTACACAAAAAACTTGCCAGTCTAGACTCAGCCATGTTGTTTTACTCATTGATCTAGCCAAGGAGGCAGCTGTCCATCCCCATAAACCAGTGTTGTGAAAATAGTATAAGGTCTGTTTTAAGGCTATTTCCATTCTCACTTTCTGTATAGGGAAAAGCCCCTACCTAGATCAGCATGCATCGTTGTGACATCCCAAACTCTAAAAGTTGCAGTGCAAATGTGGTGTTAAAGGATACCTCTTGGTTCCCTAAAGCTAGTGGACTACCCCAAGTAGGTTGTACTTTCACAATAGGCTGTCATAACACAAACAGCACCGGACTCCATTCATCTGTGCTTTTATCATTTTCTACACATTGCAACCATAATAAAACAAAAAGCAAATTTGACCCAGCCTCCTTAGCAAAAAGCTACACTGGACAGGCAGCTGCTTTTACTGTGCTACTTAACCTCCATCTCTCTGTAATTTGCACCTCTCTCCCACTGATAAATATTTCAGTTTTCTTGCCTAAGTTAGTGAGCAGCAATAACTAGTGATGAACAGTGGGTAAGAAGGTAGAAAGTGACACAGAAAAGTGAGAGAGTTAACTGGCCTTTTGACTGCAAATTAGAAGCTATGACTTTTCATGCAGGTAGCCACAAGGCACAAATTCTGGAAGACATCTGAATTATTTGTATTAGGTAAGTAGCTGGTAGCACTGTTAATTTTTCTGCATCCTGTTTCCTCTGCAGCTAATGACAATCGTTCCTTAGTCAGGTGCACATTTCAAGACAGCAGCTGGAAGTACAGACTGGATTGACAGTGCATACAGCATGCTGGACATCTTGCTTAACTTTTCTACTGCTACTGAAGATCATGCTATTATTTTTAAGATTGTAGCATATCCCATTGACTACAAAGTACACAGTGCTGCAACACAGGAGCAATTTGCCTTCACATAGGTAGTAAGCTAGGCAGCAGTAGAGAGATAGTATTGTTACTGTGCCCTAATGCCCATTCCTTTTGTGATTACTCCTAGGACTCACTTGCGTTTGTTTTTTAAACCACAACCCTTGTATTCTGGACTTCCTTGCAACATCCTCACACAGCAGTATCAATTGAGAAAGTGTCAGTTCTTTAAAAAGGCAGGTACCATCTCTATTTTGGCTCTCATGCTGTACAAAGCATATTATTGGCACATAAACATGGCAACAGTGCAGTACTTTGTAATGCATAATTGGTTTGGATTTTGGAACAACTAGTGGCTAAACATGGCAAGTTTATTGTTCTCAAATAAAAGACCAAGGCTATCCCAGCAAGAAAGTTAAAGGCCAGATACTGATGCTTGATTTTTCCCAATTATTTAAATGTCTTTTCTCCTGGTCTCAAAGAATAAGGATCTGTAGCACTTTTAGCATCAGGTTTAAGACCTCATTTCAACTATAATTTTTGCATATCAAAATTGAAGAGGAATTATTGCTCCTGGGATAGCATCTTAGGCCCTCCTATCTGAGTCTTGCAAAGACTTGATTTCACTTATGAAGACTCAGTATTTTAAAAACAGCTCAGCTAGTTGATGGGGAGCAGTAAGAAAGAGCTGCCTATCATTAAAATAACTGACAAAGTTCTGTAGCTCAAGAGCACCATTCTTTGATACAGATTTATTCCTGAGTCACCTGTCTAGACATAGAAATAGCAAAGTCCTGGATAAGACTGAGAGGTCACTTAGCTTTATTATAGCTTCTGCCATACTCCCTATCCTTTGCCATAATGCATCGATTGGGCTACGTGTGGAGACTCGTTCAGGAGCAATGTATGGTGTAGCAAGAGCATAAAGGCAAAAGATAATCACAATGTTTATGTTGGTCCAGAAGTTTACCCGGAAGCACTGATAAGGATAGTTTGATGTGGGGGCTTTATACCATACAGAAAATGAGAATGGAAATAGTGTCAGGGTTGTTTTTTTTAAGGCTACTTTCACGATGCTGGTTCATGGAATAGCTCCAAGCAGGTGAAAGATCTATGCCGGTAAAAGATACATTGCAGCACCAGCCTGCAGATCTTGGCAGCACTTACAAAAGGCCCTTTTGGATGAACAACTGTATTAAACCTGCTCTTAAATTTACATCTGGACCTTCCACTGGTGTAGAGCAGAGATCTGCAAAACCACGCTGTCTTTTCCTTTCTTCTTTAGAGTGCAAGCTGCTGTGCTACATGATCAGTTCCATCTAAAAACTTCATCCAACAGACTAAGTGTGATGTGAAAGGAACAATCAACTGCTACAGGAACTCAGTGTCATGGTTTTTAAAATATTTTATGTTAAAAATACAGCAAAAATAGTTTTGTTCAAAGAGGAAAAAATATACTGCATGACACCACCAGTCTAGGTATGTTTGAAAGTGTCTCTGGCTCCAACTGTTCACTGGAGTGATTTCGATGGTTCAGAATTTGGCAATTAATCTGTTCCTTTTCAACTTCAGTCATTTATCAAAGCCAAGATCATACTGTGGCAAGACAAAAGAGGTCATCAGTGTATTAGTACAACATAAAACTGTAGGTGGTCCCAGACTTGCAGTCAGAGGGGATGCAACTCGTTTCCTTAAGTAAATGAGAGATCATGGCCACCTTCAACTTTATTATGAAGGCAAGATTCTCAGAGATTAACTCGCAGCATGCAATGGTCGATCTTGAAGTGATCAGATGGCCAATCCTGTGATAAGGTTTGCATGAGACATGTCTATTAAATTTGGACCTCATGCAGCTCCTTTTCTGGTTAGCTGTTAACCATCACTTTTTATTCTGCAAGTGAAATCCATTTAGCACCCAACATGCCACTTGCAATAGATTCTTTACAAGAATACTTTGCTCAGATTTCCAAGATATGTAAGGGTTAAAAATATTAACATAGGTACACAGAATTCCCAATCTCTCTCTACATGGGATAGCATTTAAAATGATGTTCAGGGAGTTTAGGCCTCAAATTTACATTTTGAAAGGTTTTCTTTAAAACTTGATTAATAGAAGTGGGCTTTTGGGAGAGGGAAGGAAATTGGTTTCATTGTAACCAAATATGAAAAATTAAAACCAGATATGAAACTACCCAGTACAGTTACAGCTAAACTGGAGAGATACTTACTGTGGGCCTGTGCTGGATATGACTAAAATTAAATCCAATTTTTAAAACTTTTTAAAAATCTAAAGCGATACCAGTAATAGACAAGTGAAATGCCACTACGGCCCACATTCTGCTATTATTTACTTTACTTCAAATTTAAAGTGTACATTAAATTAATTGTTTATACCCTCTACATCAAGTCAGCTTCAGAGTTTGTGTGCAGCTGTTTCAAAAGAATGCAGCTTTCCTATTCCCACATTAGAAATATGAAGTATCCCTTCATCCCTGCACAATCTAGAACAGGGCTACTCAACTCTGGAAATCCTGGGGCCCACAATAATACAGCACATGCCAAGGGCCACAATTATATGCAAATAGTTTCATTCTGAAGGGCATGAATATAAAAATTAAGACTATACAACACGCAGGCCCCATGTAAGTCAGTTCGCTGATATTAATAAAATGCAATATTTACCCTTTCCCACTCATATAACAGCACTTTTAATGAGCAATGACAGTCCAGGAATTTAACTACAAAAACGCATCTCAACAGAAGACCATTAGATTGACTACTTTTTTGTTTTGGCTTCCACCTGTGGGCTGCAAACAAACGGGCGACCAGCCACGTGTTGAGTAGCCCTGATCTAGAATACACCATGACAGAAGCTGGTGTATGAAGTGCTGATTCCCCCTAAATAAATCAACATCCAAGTTAGAAGTGAGTCAAGCCTGCTTGTTGAACAAGGGGCTATCAAGTTAATTTTAAAGGAAAAATTAAAAACTAATTAAGGGAAATATTTTGAGCATGTTTAACCAGGACTGTCAGGAGGTATCGCTTGGGCAAACAGCTTAAATAGGATGCAGAAGGAGGACAGATATCAGCAGTTACAGTGGCAGAATAAAAGAAATATGAAATATTAGTATGACAATTCCTTTGCTCTTACGCTGCACAAGATTTAAGACTAACCTGTAAAGGTACATGAAGAAACAAAGCAGGTGAAAGCCTAGCTTAATCATGGCTTCCTTCATGTGCGATTTCAATTGTCCTCTATTGTGGATCTCTGTGGGGTCAAACACCCCCATGTTCCCACTTGGCACCATAACAAACCTGAAAGATTTAAAACAAAGCTATTCGTTATCATAATTTTAGTATCAGTATTAAAAACAAATCTTACTGAAACATGCAGAGAAGGAATACAAAGACATTTTAAGAGTAACTACGGAGCTGCGTCCCCTGCTCACTATGCTTGCCAACCCCCCTGTCTCGGATGGCAGGGTACAGGAGCAGGCTGGGGGTAGGTGCCTGGCCAGGGGGGAAGGGGCAGGAGCAGGCTGGGGGTATAGGGTCTCGGAGGACGAGGTGAGTGAAGGGGATAGCAGTGTAACTTGTGCCTGTAAATACCAGTACAACAACATCCACAACAGCAGTTGTAGTGCTATACTCACATAGTTACAACAGCAGTACATGAACTGTCTTTACACAAGCGGCAAGGAGTCCTGTGGCACCTTATAGACTAACCGAAGTGTTGGAGCATGAGCTTTCGTGAGCAAAGACCCACTTGGTCAGATGCATGTAGTGGAAATTTCCAGAGGCAAGTATAAATATGCAGGCCAGAATCAGGCTAGAGATGACGAGGTGGATCCATTCAGGGAGGATGAGGCCCACTTCTAGTAGCTGATCTGGAGATGTAAATACCAAAAAAGCAGCTTCTCCTCTCTTGCTATTCACACCTCTGGTCTGAATATTTATACCTGCCTCTGGAAATTTCCACTACATGCATCTGACCAAGTGGGTCTTTGCTCACGAAAGCTCATGCTCCAACACTTCGGTTAGTCTATAAGGTGCCACAGGACTCCTTGCCGCTTTTGCAGATTAAGACTAACATGGCTACCTCTCTGATACTCGACACCACAGTCTCTGGGTGAGATTTTAAAGAGAGGAGTGAAACCTGAAAGAGGTGAATCTAACAAGCATGTGAGCATGGGACACATGATCAGAGCAATAAGAGGAAACATACTAATTTCAAAAGCTCAAGCCATAAAATCCTTGAAAACTTCAGGCTGCCTCACAATGTCAAGATACTTTGTCATTATAACTTTTACTCAAGAATGTCAAACTTTGCTGCAATTTCAGCTAAAAGTGCTGGAGGTCAATCATCTTAGTCTACATGGGAAATTTTTGAAAAGGCCAGACCTGTGACAATTTCAAAGCACCTACAGTGAATTAATGACTCAAGGATAAAAATGAAATATCCATTCACAATGTACCAGCACAACATAGGCTTTATCTTCAAAATCAAATATTGAAAGTAGTAAAATTTCAAGAGGACAAGAAAATAAAATCCTTTGCACTTACCTATATATATTCCAGCTTGCTACCGGTAAATTGAGGAGGAAGATGAACCAGTGCAATGAAACAAACATTAACACAGTGACAACAGTATGGCCAATCAATTCTGGGACCACCCACTGCAAATAAAGAATTACAGAAGTGTAAACATTTATGGAGAGTACTCCTTACAGAAAGCAACCCTCACTTAAAGTACGTCAAAATTTACATGTGTAGAGTGGATAAAAATGGATTAAAATTAAAATCTGATTTTTATTTAGAATCAAACTTTTTTTTTCCCCCAAAGAAAAAATTTATTTAAAATTAAATTTGCAATGATGACAAACTATATGAAGGCCTAAATTTATTATAATCTACTAAAACTATATGTAGAATTAAATAACGTTAAGCAGTCTATGAGTATGTATACACTTGCACCCTCTTTCGAGAGAGGGCTGCCAATGCAGCTGAGTGAAATTGCAAATGAAGCGTGGATTTGAATTTCCCATGCTTCATTTTCATTATCGCGGACCCTGCTATTTCCAAATACCCTATTTCGAAATAACAAACGCTGTGTAGACATGGTTATGTTGAAAGAAACCCCTTCTTTTGAAATAACTGTTAAACCTCATTTTTTGAGGAGTAAAGATCATTTCAAAAGAAGGGGTTTCTTTCAACATAACCATGTCTACACAGCGTTTGTTATTTCGAAATAGGGTATTTGGAAATAGCAGGGTCCGCGATAATGAAAATGAAGCATGGGAAATTCAAATCCACGCTTCATTTGCAATTTCACTCAGCTGCATTGGCAGCCCTCTCTCGAAAGAGGGTGCAAGTGTAGACTACCCTATGTTTGCTGCCAAAGTTTTAAAGAAAATCAAAATACTGAACTGGTGAAAGTCAGCGATTAAGCCTGCTAACCCAGCTTTTGACAGTATTAACTTCTTCTGCAGTGCAGAATGTTTTCTTCAGTTTTCTCAAATAGTTCATTTCAGTAAATATTTCATTGAAAAGTTGACAAACCACTTGGAAGTAGAAAAAGCAGGAAAGCTTATTTTCCTCTTACAATATATAGATGAAAATTAGGTGAAAGAGGATGAACTCTACTACTTCTAAAAATCTTTAAACACAGAGGCTATGTCTTCACTGCGGTGCTATTTTGGAATACCAGAGGTATCCCGAAATAGCAATGTTGTATCTTAACAGTGTGCCCGGTATTTGGATATATAATGGGCTCACTATACTGATGTCCCTGAAAACCTTGTTCCACGAGGAGTAAGGGATGTTTTGGATTAGCAGGTTATTTCAAAATTTGGTTCTGTGTAGACAATGCCAAATTACAAAATAAGCTATTTTGAAATTGACTCAAAATAAGATACACAATTTGCATAGCTCAAATTGCACAGCTTATTTTGAGCTACAGGTGCAGTAGTGATCAGAAACAATCATTTAAATTCACTATCTACAGATAATACTTCCTTTGATAAGTAAATCAGTTAGAGATGCAAAATATGTTCTGAAACTTTTCTTATGTTTCTGGCACATTTAAGATAACCTTTTATTAATTTTATTTACAAAAAAATGCTATTTTGAGTATTTTTTGTTTAAATTTCAATTTTCATCCATATAGAAATTGATGCAAATCACAAGCAGGGGGTAAAAAGGTAATAAGAAATGCATCGCTCCCCATTTTCTATTATGAAAGTTAAAAATTAAGAATGTGAATATACACATATTTGAAGCTGTATAATTGTTTAAATATGTACATACAAACTTGGGATGTAAGTGAATAGTCAAGTCGACTATTGCTCCCCCCTTTGCTGCCTCTGTAGCAGAGGCAGTGGGGGTGGGTGGGAGCAGGAGTCAGTGCTGGAGGGAGCCAGCTTAAAAGTTAAGCCAGTTCCCCCGGCACCATCTTCACAGTGGCACCTGCTCCCCCCTCCGCCACTGCTGCCTCTATCAGAGGCAGCAGTGCGAGGGGGGGCCAGGGGACCCTGCCACAAAGCAGCCTCTGACCACTGTGGCCTGGGCTGGCCACTGACAGGGACAGCTGGACCAAGTGCAAGCTGGGACTGAGCAAGCCCAGCTCCTACTACATTTAAACTGCACAGCTGCAGCAGGGGTAGTTCCTGGACCCAGTGCAAGCTGGGGCTGAACAAGGCTTCCCCTATCAACAAATTGTGTAGTTGATAAAATTTTAATTGACTATACGATTAGTGAATTACCTGCCTCTGAACATCCTTCATACAGACTAGAGATGTTAGTGTGCAGCTGTGTAAATGATTAACTGATAGGATTAACTGATAAGACCAGGCCTAACATCCCTATTAACCAAAGAGAATCCACCTTTCTTTAGGAACAAAAACTTAAATTAAAAACATGATTAAAATGTATTTAAATAAAAGGTTTCTGCAGGCAGATTTAAATATTGATTAAAATATTTAGAACAAAGCAATTTAAATCCATCTGTCTAAGGATTTCTGGAAACATTTCCCTACTCTATTAGATTTTTATTTATATTTTTTAACATGTATAAGTTAGTTTGGTGGTAAGCCAGAGAGAAAGAACCTATATAGCACTCAATTATATGAATGGCTTCAGCTCCACTGAAATGCATCAACTCCTGGGATGAAACACAATCTCTATTTATACACAACTACACTACACAACAATTTAAGACAGAAAGTGAAGAATATTAATTTCTGTATCAATATCAAAGAACATAGGATTTAGGTAAGTAGAATATAATGAAATCTGGACATGAACTCACAAACCCACTATTTTAGGAAAAGTGCTACAGGAATTCAATAGATTCTTCATTTTACATTTTATCAGTTTCATAAATGTATTTACTCAGCAAAATGATCCCCTACACCAGGGGTCTCCAAACTACGGCCCGCGGGCCGGATGCGGCCCGCGAGGCCCTCTCATCCGGCCCGTGGAGACCGTCCCTGGGGCGCCGCCGAACGGGCCCTTCTTGCCGCGGTGGGGGGGCCCTGTCAGGGGTGTGCTGCGTGTACTCACGCCGCGCCGGGGCAGGAGAAGCGGGCCGCTCCGCTGACAAGCGGCCGCGCGGCGGCAAACGGCGCAGGGGGCGGGGGTTAGCACGGGCGGCGTTCCCCCGCCCAGACTGACAGGGCAGCCGGCCAATCGGGGCTGGGTGACGCTGTGCCGTGCCTAGCGCGCTGCCCTGGTCCCTGCAGTGCGCCCTGAAGAAACATCCCTCTCCCTTCCACGTCTGGTCTCTCTCATCCACAACCCAGAGCAGCACCGCCCTGCCGGGTATCAGTCTGTGGGAGCGTTGGGCACTGCTTTCCAACTTCCTTTACCAAGTGATAACGTGTCTGCTTTCAAACCAGCTTTTCCCATTAAAATGCATGCCCCTTGTTCCATGGGGCTATGTTACAAATTGTCACCTCATTCCCTGCATGATAGGAGAGCGATCACATCTCTTCAAGTGTGAGTGTCTTAGGCTGAACATATTGCCAGGATTATGTTGCTTACAATTTTCATCACATTGCGCAGGTGGAAATGAGTTCTCAGCAGTTTCCCCGTTCTGGAGCCCCTCCTGCAGGACTAGGACAAGCACCACCCCCAATTTCAAACAGTGATTTCTAAAGCCAGAAATGTCTGCTATTTTGGCATCCAGGAAACAATTTCACCATTCACACTAATACAGGTGTTCATGTGTAGTGTATCAATGTGTTATTAAATAATAACTGAATAAAATAATATTAAATAAATAATTAAAAACAACATCCATGTTTTGATTGTTTTTTATTTGGACCTCAAGTGTGTAGTCGGCCCCTGAACTGCTGTTTGATAGTTAATGCGGCCCTCGGGCTGAAAAGTTTGGAGACCCCTGCCCTACACTTACGAGTTTACTTATTTGTCCATTCAATTCAACAGAAATGTAACATTTACCCAGTTAATTCTTAGGGGAAAAAAATCGTAACTACTTTGACCATACAAAAAAATAAGTCAGAGAGTGGGAAAAGAAACATATTCAATTGATCTGAAATATGTTTAGCTAAATTAGTAAGTTTGATTTCCCTCTATCATTATTATGAAATAACTTTAAAAAGTTATCCCAGATTCTCTACTCACTGTAGAGTAAAAAACAGAAAAAAGCATGCCCAAGAAATTACTATTTATCACTTTGAATAAAGGACATCTGAATAAGTAAAACGTACACAATGTGAACAAAATGTACCAAGTATACATAAACATGGGGGCCATCTGAAAACCCAGAAAACTGACAAATCAATCCTTTTTTTCCCCTTGATGCTGCCCTGGCCACAGTGCAATTAGCCACTTCTCAGTGTTTGCTCAATTTGACCCAGTCTCTCTGCAAATCATGATTTTTTCAGAATACAAAGGAGTCAGAAAATAGGTAGTATATCTGAGTTTGCTGCAGTAAAGACCTCAACAATGTAAAACCAACAAAAGCAAGAAAAGTAACCCCACTATCATCAACCCATGGCCACATGGAAAGTATGCTGGATCCCCATTTGAAATTTTCAGTTTCACAAATAGATACAAACCAAAAAAGATTAAATAATAATAATCAATATCTGTTGAATTTCACACAAAACTCCATGAAAACCCATTAATTCTGCCATGTCTAATATTTATGCCACTCAAAACCAAAATAAGTGTGTCCGTGTGTCCACATAAATCAGTCTCTAAGCAGATGTATAGTATTTAAAATTATACAATTTCTCATGTAGACAAGGCCTGAGAACACTTTTGGTCAAAAAAGGCCAGGAATAATAGCCAGATTGCTGATAAAGTAAATAAAGAGCTTTAGAAAGATCACAATAACCGTGTCACAACCAGAAATTCTTGTTCTGCCTCATGCCCAGGGACAGAAGAAGAGAATTTAGAGATTCTAAGCAGGGGGCTGTCTAAGATGCAGGTATGGAGCCAATCTATGGGCTGCCTAAAAGCATCATGAAGGCGGGAAATGCTGTTCGTCATCCTAAAAGACTTTCTAGGAACTCCGATGAAGGAAATGTGTGAGAGAAGAAAAACAACCAACACCATTCAAAAATACACAACACTTCTTATTGTTTCCACATAGGATATACTGAGTTTTATGAAATTAAATGCAAAAGAAGATTTCTTACTTTATTTAGTTTTGAGCAGCAAGACCTTGCATTAATATAGTCACATTCCAAATCTGATAGTGTTATTATCTGAAGTTCAAGATAAGGAACATTTTTTGTCATACAGAATTTAAATTCTCAGAGTAATTATGCGCATATTCACTATAGGACAGAGCAAAGTAAGGCTTTAATTGGGACACTTTTAAAGCCCTTTTCTGTTACAGCACACTTTCACATTTGAGGTAAATTACATCGATTGTAGTGAAGAAAATAAAATATTGCATCACATATGTGAGGAAAAGATCTGGGATACAGTGGTATCAGTATACAAGTGACCTCATAATGGTTTTTACCAATGATTCTGGACCAAGTTATTCAACACACACAACACAGATTAGGGAATTCCATAAGGTGGGTTATTTCTCAAAGCAGTTTCCTTTGCTGGGCTTTGTCCTACAACCCTTATTTTTACAACTGGTCCTTCAGACATCAATAGAATTTAGACTAGGTTCAGATGCTTTTGTTGGAAACAGTAATTCTTAGCTGTAAATACAGTATTTCTTAACTCATTAAGGATATTCCCATCAGACAGAACCGTTGTAAATTATATGTTGGCATCTTAGAGTGCTTTGAGATCCCCAAATGCAAATTGCTAGAAAAATGCAAACTGATGTTTATTTTATAACTAGTGCCCAGATACACTTCAAAAATTGTCCATCACCAGACTATAATCATTACATTACTTCAAGAAAAAATAAGAGGTGTTTTAATATCAGAACTAAAAGGTAATCTGTGAAGGAAAAATGTACACTTTTTTTCTTTATTACACACAAAGTCACCAGAAAGGTTTAAAAACATTACTTCTACCTTTTAAAAATACACTAGCAACAATATTAGGGTTCTCTATGTTCATCTGGAGAAGTGGGATTCTATCACAAGAAACAGATTCCAAAAGAAAGGATTTTAGTTCAAAAAATTCTCTTTAAAGGAAGACTTACTCCCCATTCCTCGCCTAATGAAGTGTATGAAAGTTCAAATTCCAAGTTTTCTAGCAAAAACAAGACCCTTGATATTCCTGATTTTAAGGCTTTCTGGTTTTGATTTATTTTAGAAACAAAACCCTGGCCATCTTTTGTGTGTCATGATGAAACTAGAGAAGATTTTTATAAAGACTCAGTGCCCTTTGTATCCTAACAATGTCATAAAACAACAAGGGCAATTAGAGAAACCCTGTGCAAGGTGAAACCTTTGTAATTCTACCAGGAACTAGTGGCACATTAACAACAAGAATACATTTCCAACAGAATAAAACATCTCTAGAATCCACAGGACATTGAGAAACTTTCTTAATCCAAACTTTTAGAAGTTTCTGAGATTTAAAAAATACTTTTGCACCCCTCTCCTGCCAGAAAGATCAAGACCACACAGATCACTATAACATGAACTATGTGGAAAAAAACTAGGGGTGTTAAAATGAGGTTATTTACTAAATGGAGTAGTTGATAGGCAGCTGGCTCAGTAGCAGGGATCAAAACCTGCTGTGCCTCTGCAATTTAAAAAAGGCAATAGGAGTTGGGCAGTCTACCCCCTGGGGGAGGTCCCCAACTCTCCACTGGGACTCCCTGCAGACAGGAACTGCTGCAGTTTAGTGGCCCGTCAGTGGAGGGTGCCAACTCCCTGCTGGGACCCCTCATTGACAGGGGCTTCTGCTGGAGCAGACGCCCCTCCCCGTCCCTCCCCTGCCAACTGCTGCCTCTGATACAGAGGCAGCAAGGGGGGGGGGAAATCCAACTAGTCAACTCAACTACCTAATAAGTGTGTTTTTCCTTATGTGGACTATAAGGCTACGTCTACACTGCAGGCTTCTTGCGCAAGAATTGTTTTGTGCAAGAGTTCTTGTGCAAAAGGTCTTCCACAAGAGCGTGACCACACTGCCAAGAGCATCATGACAGCATGGATGCTCTCTTGCGCAAGAAAGCTCTGATGGCCATTTTAGCCATAGGGGTTTCTTGCACAAGAAAATCATGTTGCCTGTCTACACTGCCTTCTTGTGGAAGAGCTCTTGCGCAAGAGGGCTTATTCCTCGTATGGGAGGAATAACTCTTCTGGAAGAAACCCTTTTCCAACATTGTACTGTAAAGTTACTTGCCCAAGAACACGCGTGCAGTGTAGACACCCGGCAAGTTTTTGTGCAAGAACACTTGTTCTTGCGCAAAAAGCCTGCAGTGTAGACGTAGCCTAAGTGTAAGCCACATATAGTAATGAACTGAAATTTTCTATTTAGAGAATTGGATACTGCACACTCATTACTAAGCCATGTTTTTACAGGTTTTCTGTGTTATAGAAATGTTTTCATGAAACAGCCTATTCCTCTCCAGCCATCTCGAGTCCTAGCAACATTCTCCAACTTCCTTTTTAGCCCCTTTTGGATTCTGTTCCAATTTTATCATGATGCAACACATGTGACATAACTGTTAATGATAATCCAAGAAGGTGCATCAGATTGTGATTGTTACCATGATGAAATGTTTATGACAAAGGAACCTCCATATTTATTGTACAGATTTTTTTTAATCCTTAACCAATTGTTCTTCATTCTCCAGCTAAAGCAGAGACCCATCAGTGAGACACAGATGAAAGATCCTATGTAAACTACCAACAAAAAAATTCCCCCAAATACAGAGAAATTCACAAGTGTGATTTTCAATCTTAGTATTAATCCAATTAACAGAAACTAACAATACTGGAGAGGAAATTTAGGTCCCAAATGAGATTTTGCAACAAATAGGATTTGACAAAAGCCAGTAGCCACAGAAGTGCTTTCCTAACTTTTAAAACAGCTTGTGAATGAAATCAGGCCTTGTGGCTTAAACGTGTACCCGGGCCGCAGAATCCGGACGGACGCATCTTCCAACCCCCTGCTGCCAATCACCATCGCTGGGTACCATACCCGCCCCCACCCCCTCATGCCAACTCCTCCCCTCTCCTC